CAATCCTGAACACCACTTAGGAGGGTTTGCTGGTAGTAAAAGTCTGACTGTGAGTGCCTTTTTTTTTTTTTAAGGTCAACTCACTAAAATAAAGGAACTCCAAATGCCATGTATTAGTTTTATTGCAACAAGGCTTAAAAAATACAAGCTCAGACTCCACTTTCCCAGCTGCTATAAAACATGAAGCAAAAGGACTGCCTGCGTGCCAAGAGGCTCTGAACATTGCTGCGAGCCTCAGCTCTCCATCAAAACCCACCCCAACACCTTCAGCAAAACCCATAAACTACCACAGTCAGCTTCTCCCCATATTTAGAAGGTAACAAAAAAACAAGAGAACTGACCTCAGTTTCCCAAAGCACCTCGCTCAGATAACGCCACGAGCCCTGATTAGGAAGTGCCAGGAGTTATGCACAGAACACACGCGTGGTGCAGACCTTCTAACAGCAGGAAGGAAACAAGAAGGAGCAAGAGTCCAGTTAAAAAGGGACTGGCACAGTTTGAAGCTAAGGCTGAAAAACCCAACTGGATGCAACAAGCTAGATTACTGTCTAAAACTAAAGAGCCTTTGTTTGCTAAGCCACTAAGTTTGGGGACAGAGCGTCACCTTCCCTCCCTCTTTCCCTACTTCTGGAAATTCTGGGGAGCGTATTTTCATTTGGGATTTGGTAAGGGTGGAGGCAGGTATACACATCTCAGCATGAGTCTGAACTACCCTAATGAAATGCTGAGTTTTGGGTTTTAACGCGGCAACTTTAGGGATAAGCAGCCAACACTGTACGCTCTTGTGACAAAACCCCTGCTGCTTGAATGGAGAACCATCCCGTCCCCCTCCAAGGCATCTTAAAGACCATAATGAAATTACATTCCTACAGTAACCCAGAGTTTTATTCAAACAATTGTTTAATTTTAGCATGGTTTGGACTTTGCTGTTGTGGCTATAAGGATCCATGTTTGGGAGTTATGGACGCTGCTATACGAGCCATGCTGTACTTTTCACGCTGTTTTACATTTCATCAACTAAATTTCTGGCAGAAGTTAAAAATACCAATGAGGCCTCGTACTGCAGAACGCTCGTAGTCACTGTAATCCATCTAAAAGCACGCAAGCATTTAGCATACAGAAGTTGCACTGACACTATGCTCAGCCTTTACTGTTTCTGTGGAGAGCTGCTAAGAAGAAAACTACAGCGATACCTTACTGGCAAAGTCTTTCACCATGCAGCAGCAGATAACCTTTTTTTTTTTTTTTCCCCTTTTCAGAGCCCTTATTCTCTATTAATATATTCCAGAAACAAGATAGAGTGCTCAGCACATAGTTATCGTACCAGTCAATTTCCATACAACAGCCATTTTTTATATTGCAAAAAGCCACAGATTCCCATTTTCGCCTTTAAAAATGGAGGCTGAGTGGTTTAGGTAATTACAGCTGTCACGGCGGGTTTGACAAATCATTTCTCTGCTCTATGTATGCTTTAGGCCACTGGGAAAGCTGTCAAATAATGACATCAGAGTCTACATTAGGACTGGCGAAATGCAACTACATTTCCTTTCTTATTTAACTCGGATGGTTTATGGCCCTTCCTTTTCCTATTCCCTTGTTGAAAAGCAGAGTGGAACGAACAAATGGATTATAATTCAACCCAAATTAAATGGAGATAGGTAACAGTGAAGGAGCGTGAAAGAAAATGAGAAGCACATCCTTGCTTTGGTGACGAAGAAGTTTGCTCATTCTTCATCATCAATAAGTTCTGCAAGCTTGAGTCACTTCCTAGAACTCCAGGCTGTAAGGATGAGCACGAAGACCAGCTGGCTGCCTTCCCCTTGGTCTTCCCTGCTCCTTACATGATCTTAATTCCAGTCAAAGTGCAAACCAACCACAAACTCGTTATTATTTCAATGCCTTCGTAAGTTACCTACTCAGTTCTGAAAACAACCTTGGGCACCGTGGTTTCAGATGCTTTCCGTGGGTCTCCAGCATCTGGAGGCAGCTGGGGCTCTGATATTTCCACTGACATTTTGTGATCGAGGCAAACGATTAATGAGGAACCTGATTTTCCCACTGATGCTTAACAGAAATATTATATTAATTACTATATTACCAGGGCCAGGTGATGAGAAGTGGGTGCCGCATGCAACTTAGGTCTTATCAGAGGGCTACAGCTCACCTGAAAATGGTATCTCTGTATAGGAACACCGTAGTGGAAACAAAACAGGTAAGACAACTGTAACGGGGTGGGGCAAGAGGGGGATGTAATGATCTCAACACAGTCCAGAGATATCTGAAAGCAGGTATAAGTGGAGAAAAATGAGCTTAAATAAGATTACATAAATTGGAATTTGGTCTAGTAAATGCTTCTGCAATTTTCACTAATGTGAAACCACTGCTTATTTACCTAGTTAATAACTAGAATTAGGAAATGAGTATGCAAAAAGCAGCTACTGGAGCTTGAGCACTAGGGTTAGGAGAACTGTCAGCTCTGAACCCAGGAAAGTTCCAAAGAGATGTGCTCTTTACATTCATTTAATACTTCAAAATATACATATTTTTTAGCTGATTTAGAGATTCTGCCCTTGTACATCACCAACCTTAAAATCTGCACCAAGCACCCAACTAACCTGATCCAGCACCTGATCTCTAGCTCCTTGTTCCTCCTGCTGACCTGCTCTGGTGGTTCATTTGCGTTAGCACCTTCCAGGCAAGGCCACTGATTCTGCTAAGGCTTAAGGCTATGCTAGCTGCCAGTTTGCTAGCAGCATAGTTACGTTAATGAGGGATGTGATTAACTCCCACCACTTTAAGATGGATGCAGTAACAGTGACGTGCAATTATTTTTATTACTAGAAGAATTGGAATGAGCTATACCAGTATAACGTGATTCACACTAGAGAGGTGTCTATTCTGGCACATAAAATGGAGTAAGATTTGCATATACGTTCTTTCATCTTCACTTTTACAGTTTGGGAGTAATTCCAATGGTTTTGGGAAAACTCCACACATGCATGCTCCATCTGACGTGCTTCGAGTCCTTGTAGCACAGCACGCAAGGAGGCTATTTTAAGTGTTTATAACACTTCAGACACAATTGCACATTCTGATTTGTGACTGCTACCATATAATTGGAAGCTTCACAGGAAAGATATCAACACAGAGAAGTGCATTAAATTTGTAGCTGAGTATTGGGGGCAGAAACACTCGCACAGATTTTTCCCCACTGCTAGCCTTACACCACCTTACACTAAAAAAAGGCACGAGATGGGAGTTATTCACAGCAGCCTTCAGAACTGAGACTTTAAAAGAGAATGCTCCCCCCTTCACTCAATAAGCTTTGCTTCGTACAAGTTCAGAACAGCCCTAGCTTTTTCTAAGGTTCATTGTGATGATAAACACACAGCAGTGTATGGTATGCACTACCGCTTATTAGAATTTAATGCTTCTTGAACAACTACAATGCGAATGGGCATCACAATAGATGGGAACCTCGGTGGAAACCAGAATTCCCACAAATTGTTTAAGAGTACAGTAAATGAATAGCGTTATAAACAAAAAGCCCAAATCTCTCACGAATGCTTACGTTGCATTTACCCACAGATCAGCCCACTACGCGTTCACTGTGCTACTGCACTTGTGCAAAATCCTTCAAACACAAAAATTACACCCTAACAAGGAGCATTTTCGGCTTACAGATGTGTTTAAGGCAGACAAACCACATTTGTCTCGGATTTTTTTCGTATTAGTGAGAGATTTTTGCACGAATAGGACATTCTGTCACAGAGCACCAAGTTGGGCAATTTTAAAGGCTCCATTTTGAAATACTTCACTGGCAGGGCATCAAGACACTCACTAATAAAGACGGTAATTTCCAAAAAGCCACGTTGGGAGTTTATTTTTAAGCTAGTATCTTCAAACAAAAGCAGGGCAACGCAACAGACAAAGTTATAAACACAAAGCATGACAAAATCTAGATGACAGCGTAAGTAAACTAAGCTGAAACCAAACGGCCTGCTGATGCCTCCCAAAACCACTGCAACCTCAGTTACACAACCAGACAGTTAAAATAAACGTAAGCTAAGTTTTCTGTATATAATGCATTAAGAAAACTACTCCATCCTATACAAACCCTCCTTGTTTTTTATCTCTCCAATTAATAAGGAGCCATGGTAACATATGCCACAGGTGTTTTCACGTGTTCTTCCTTACAACTGAGGTGCTCACAGGATAATATACATTCTTAGTCTACTGGGAACATATTTAGGGAGCAGAGGAGAAAACACAGGCTTATTGAACACTCTACCTTGCAAATTAATTATTAAAGCCTTAATGTTTTTTCTCCATGCAGAAAGAAGGGGAAGAGGACACGATTCCACCCAGAGCACCTTTCACACCTTGCTTATGGCTGTCAGAAGCAATAATAACAGCAGTGTAAGAGCACGAGAAACACCTGCCTGTAGCTTATACACACCAGCCAGCTTGCAAAGCTGATTTTTCCTCTGCCAACAGAGCAAAATGTTGATAGGGAAGGATGCTGGGGGTGTGTACGCACACACAGAGATACCCAGCGATGCTCACAGACACAAACACCTCCGAACGAGCTCCTGCCCTGCTAAAACCCCACCGGCGAGCAGCAGGCGCTGCGACAAACCCCGTAAAACCCTTTTTAAAACTCATTTTCTGAGCAGGGGGACAAGGAGGCGAGGCCCAGCGGAGCAGCCCAGGAGCTCTGCAGAGGGGCAGAGGCAGGGCGGGGAGGGAGAAGCAGCCCGAGAGGCGCAGCACAAGGAGCATCGCCTCAGGACAGAGCCGGGGAGCGGGGAAGCCCCTCTCTGAGCGCTCCTGAGGGGAGAAAATTAAACGGGGAGAGCGTGGGGGGGTCCCCGCCCCTCTGAGCACCCCCTGAGGCAGCTCCCAACCGGAGAGCCGAGCCCCAGCCCCCTCAGCCCCACGGCAAGGGCTGTGTCAGGGGCTGCCCCGTCCTGGTCCCGGTGCCCGCCCCGGTCCCTCACCGGCCCGTGTGGTGTCGCTGAGGTCGTGGTTGGCGGCGCTGGCCCGCGGGTAGTCGCGGAGCTTCCTGCCGCTCAAGCTGAGCGTGCCGCTGGCCGCCGCTTCTTCCAGAGCTCGGTCCAAGGAACGGCTCCACGAGCCGGGGCCCGCCGGAGGAGGAGGACACATCGCCGCCGCCGCCGTCGCCACCGCGGTGCCCAGCGGCATCCCCGCGGAGCCGCCCTCCGGCGCCGCCAGCCCCGCGGCCGCCATTTCCCCGCTGCCGCCGCCGCTTCCGGCTTCGTGCCGCGCTGCGCATGCGCGGGGCGCCCCCCGGCCGGGAGGACGGGACCCATGCGCCGGCCATGACAGGGAGGGAGGGGAGTGCGCATGCGCCAAGCGCCCCCCCCCGCCCCCCCTTCATCCCCTCCCTGCCTGTGAGGGCCATGGCGGGGCCCGCCCTGACACCGCCCTGAACAAAGGCAGGGGTCGGGTTATTCACCGTGCCCAGCGCCTCGTCACATAGACACACGGGCACTATGTTCATCCTGAACCCCTTCCATGGCTTATACTCATCCCTCTGCCAAGCACGCTTCCTCAAAACCGCGGCCGCAGAGCTTTATCAGGGTGTTGGTGCTGATCCTGTGAGGCGAGGGTGAGGGTGCAGAGCTCCCGTCAGCAGTGCAAACCCCTGATATATCGTGATATCACCTGTCCGATTGTGGTATCAGCAACTAGTCACACCAGTATACATAAACTTTTACAGCACCACTGCAAAAAGTGATTACTTTTCCCAACACAGGCAATAAACACAAGCCTTCTTCACATTCAACTATTTTTTGTTACATTCTTCAGAACATTTAATGATTAAGTCATTAACAACCCCTTAAATATATGCATTTTCCGATATAACCAACGTATTACTGCCCAAGTGTTATGACAGGGACAAGACAGCATGAAACCTGTAACTTTTTATTTAAAAAAAATTAACAGCTTCAGAATAGATCAAATGTAATAACTTCTCCAAAAAATACCAAAAGGTACAGTGTAAAGCATCTTCTCATTAAATACAAACTAGCTTTTTTTTTTTTTTGATGCATTGCATCAATGTTTTGCATCTATGTTGATGCAAAAGAGTTTTTTTTTGTTGCATCCTGGCACATGGAAAATGTATACACTGAAACAGAATGACTGACGCCACATTATCTACTCAAATTCTAACAGTGGGACATCTTTCATTTTTCAAAAAAAATCCTACTAGTAATTAAGAAAAAACACCTTAACACCATTATGTTTAATTAATCTCTGCTAAGGTATATTTGTCAACATTAAAAATAAGGGTTTCGGTTCTATATAGCATCAGGGATGCATTCGGACTTTAAAATTGCTGTATGAATGAAAGCCCTTCTGCAGTCAATGCTCTTCAAACATTGAAGTCCCCAGTAAACACCAGTTAACTTGGAATTTGAGATAAAAATGCAAGGAAACCAGTTCTGTAAGAAGTCCAATGTAAACTCTTCAAGAAAAATAAAACGAAGTAAAACCACTTCAAACACCATGAACATTTGTGGATGCAGCAACCAACCATCCTTTTACGTGGCTGTACCTAAACTCCATCGCTACAGAACAGGGTTAAACTCATCAATTCCTGGGCTGGAAGCAGCTTTAACTGTATGTTATTCCTGAACAGGTGCCTCACTTTTAGGAATCATAAATTAATATTGAGAATGCCCCAGTCCTTACCATCCTGCAGATTCGGATACACAAAGCTATGCCTGCAGCAAGCGACTACATGCTCCTGCTCAATGCCTTACGCATGCTGGTAGACTGAGGGCTTTCTTCCAGTGACATTCCCCAGTTTTGGCCAATTTCAAGACGCCTGACAAATTTCAATCAACTTCACATTTTACCTCTCTTTGGTATATACAAGCAAGTGCCGCTAGATTGCATGCCTCTGGCCATTTGTATGAGCCACAGAAAACCCTCTGGGTCAAGGTTTGCAAGATGAAAATCCTGTGTCTGGGAATGCAAGGAACTCTACCATGCCACTGACTTTCTTGTGAACTGTTACATTTATTTCTATGAAATTATCCAAAAATTTGAAGTTATTGCATTAAGTTTGAGAAAAGAAAAACTTACAAAAAGAAATAGTAAGCAAAAGTTTAAGAAAAATGGGAGATGTGTAAACTCCATTTGCAGAGGATGCTGATGAACTTGAGATATTTGTAATATAAGTTACTCTCGTACTGCCCGCGCAGTACTCCTCCAATATGGTCTGGACCACTTTTAAGGATAAGAGTAGAATAGTCTCCATCCCAATTACATATTACGGGTCTCAGCTAACAGCTTTATTTGTGAAATAGAGAATGCAAAACATTTAGTCTTCAAGAAAGGAAAAAAAAGAACTTCAAAAGCACAAAGAAGTACAACCAATGCTCCCATGAAAAATGTTGCTACATCACTACTAAAGTATTCACGGACTGAGGCTCTGTGCCAAACTGCAGTCCAGAGGAAAGTTCATAGGCAGTCCCTAACATCCTAAAGTGGGATTTGTAATGATACACTGACACAATCTTTACTATAGCAGGGGGTTGAAGAACAGATACCGAGTACTTCTAAACAGAAAGAAAAACCTTTTAACTTCATGTTTAAATATTGGTTGCAAGATGAACCAAAATCGGTGTTTGTTAACAGCTGGGCAACAGAATCTTTTCCAACCAGGTGATGGTGCTACTCCAGTAGATTGGTTTCCCAGTTTTCCCCCTCTCAGGGCAAAATGTCTTTTACTGCTCAAAGTAAAAGTAATAAAAACAGTGCCACCATCTTAGCAAGAAGTCTGGAGAATTTCAGGGACGTACGCCATATTCTTCTGCCCACTTTTATCTCACTTTCTTAAGTAGGTGGGATCAGCACTCAAGTCCATTCGACAGGTTAGCCCACTGTTACAAAACGGCTTCCTTTGTTCTGAGACAGCGCTGTTCTTTGCTCCTTCAGGATCCCAAAACGTTCGTTCAGTGTCATCCCTGTCTGAAAAATAAAATAATTTCATAAACTTAAAAGACGTTAGGTTAATTTAGTCAAAGTAATAAATACAAGAATATTTTTTCCTCCTTTAGTTTCATCACTTGACTTCCTAACTCAAATTCCTAAAACAAAAAAAGGTTTGATTTGGTTTAGTCCTTTCCTCCACAATTTAAAAATCAAGAGCTACTTCTTGGAATTTATTAAGAATACACGGTACACAATGTCAGAACTGACAACCTACTCAGAAAACTGTAAAAAAGTTAAACTGAGGACAGACAGACTGAAAAGGGAACTTTTACTACACCTATTTCCCCATACAGATTCTATGTAACTTCAACAACTACAGCTGTTGAACCACTATAATGCAGTTTGTTTTCCAGTTCATCCAGCTGAGGCTGCAGACTGGATTCTAGGCCAAAAGTTCAAGTAATTTTTCCAATATACTAGTAGACTATTTTTGACATACTGCTTGTTCATTGAAGGAACAAATCCAGACCAATGCCCTGACCCTATGCAGTACTCTGCAGATGGCAGCAAGGAGCTGATTACAAGAACAGCCTCATCTTGTGGTCAAATTCTCCGGCATCTGTCAGCCTGTAAGAATTTCATCAATGGCAGCACTAAGATTTCTGCATCCGATCACTCATCTTCACTAAACTTTGGAAAAATATTAATCATTCAAGTGTTTGTGTCATAACACTGATCACATCTGATTTTCTCACCCCACCTTTTTTTTTTTTTTAATGCTAGATGCATAGCAAAAGTCGCCCTATTAAATCAGGTTACATCACCAAATGACACTTGTTCCTGAATTACGCACACTTGCTGATTCAAGCACAGCAGGAACACCAGAAAGCTTTTAGAAACATTCAGCATTTTAAATCCTATTTAAAGCACGTGGGTATTCAAGACGTAAACTAGAGGAACAGGAACAGTGAGTTCAGGCACTTGCTTGGAGTTACACAGCAAGTTAGTGGAAGAACTAGAAGTGGAAATGAAGTCGTCACCAGTTCCCTCATTTTTCACTAGCGAATCTAGGAGAAAAGTGCCTGGCTCATCAGATTTTATCTGTCTTATCTGAAGCTACTTCTACAGTCAAGAAATGAAACTACATTTACCTGTTTTCCAACACTATTAATATCAAACTGCAATGGAACCCCTTTGGGAATCTTCTTCTCTTCAGATTGGTCCCTCTTCATCAGAAATGGGGGCACAGGAGTGCGAGTTAATCGTAATTTCTGGGAACTGTGAAAGAAGAACATCAGACAGGACACCGTGAATACATGTTTTATGCAATGAAGCCTTACTGCTGATAGAAAAATTAATTTTTCATCATGCCATTTGATTAGGCCAGCTGAGTAGCTGAAGGACTCAAATTCAAGGAGGTTAAAGTGAAGCAGAACTATGAAAGTTTAGGATTTCTTATTGTTATTAGACAGCAAGTGTCCCAAAAGGAAGCAATTTTTTTTTTTTTTTTACTGACAACCCCATTATTCAAAGTTAATTATTCTTGTAAATACATAAAATAAAAATTGGTATAGTTTTCCCTGTAGATAAAATATTAATAATGGAAAAAGCAACTCAATTGATTTTTAAAATAAAACACCTAATGAATCAACAGTGCCTTCAATTTTATAAAGACAAATACAGCAATGCTTTCTTTAAGTAAAATTCTAGCAGTGTCATTACTGATCAGGCAGAAACTACTACCATCACTCATCGACTAGATGCTAAATTCATTTTCATTCAGATCAGGGAGGAAAACAGCCTTAACAGTCTGATCTAGAACAGGCAGACAAGGTGAAGATCTACCAGCCCACCACCCTTCGACTCTACACAGCAGATCAAGCTCCTAATGAGGAGATGTTTCGGTAAACTCAGCTGTGGTGTTACTAACACACAAATCAGAAATATTCAAAAACAGGACAGATTTGGAAGTCTTCAGAAAAAGCTGTCACGTGAAGTCACATGAAAGACTGTCCAAAACGAACTTGCTAAATGGCTCAGGAACAGAGATTTCATTTATGTTAACATTTCAGAACTATTTCTCAAACTCACACTGGGGCTAGGATTGCTCCCGGGTTGTCGATGGACACAGTCAGAATCCCTCCACTTGTGGTAGAAGTTCGCCATCTAGTTTGAAAACACAGAAATCACAAAAATATTGCTGAAATTTCAGTCAGAATATCTTCAAATGTGCATCCAGAACTCAGGCTAATAAGGAACGTGCAAGTTTTTAGAATGTAGGCCAATACAAAGACCACATGCAGCCAAATTTTCTCAGCCTGCTTTGTTACCAACAACAAAACTACAAAGAGCCTACCAGGCTGAGAATGATAAAAGATGAATATGAAGAGTAAGAGTGGAGGGTGTCCATCTTGTGGCCTGCCTTGCATATTTCCAAACTCCTTCATAGGCTCTATATTTATATCAAATAAAATGGAAATTGCATCACGAGCTTAGGAGAGCACTGACATTTCAGTTTTTCTTCTCATCTACGCAGTATTCATGACAGACTAGTCTGTTCCTCTGAAGCTACCACCTTCCCCCTCATTCCCGCAAGCATCTTACTGCAAACAAACTCCTCCTAGTTAAATAACGAAATAATTTAGAAAACAACTGCGGAAAATAGGGGGAGGATTGCTGTCACTCAGTTGAGATGCCTACAGGGGAACAAAAAAAGCATTCTATTACCATAGCTAGAAGCAGAAGCCAGAATTAAATGGAGGACAGCAGTACAAACAAGAAACTATACTCAAGTTTTCCAAGTGAAATACTTACTGACGAGTTCTCTTTACTGTCTGGTTATCAAGATCATCTGCTGTCTGCACTTGGGCCTGCACCTGAAAGCACATCAATACAGACACTGGATTTGCAAAATGTTTCACAACTCCCATTGTAGCAGCTGGAAATACAGCAGTTCAAAAACAGAAGTTTAAAGTGGTTTATACATGATGCACAAACTGAGCTGTACTTTCAGAGGGACATATAAATAACTATCCTACTAACCTTGTAAGGCACTGGAAGAAAATTACTCTAAGAACCTAAAACGTTTTAAACATCGCCAATAAAGTAACTTAACCAATAAAGAGATGGAAACATCTTTGAGAGCTTCAGCAAACACTACCAACATGCACCAAAGTGTTATCAGGCCAGCAATAAAAGCTATGGCTGTAGTTCTGTAATTCATATGGATAGAAGATGGTAACTACCTACAGTTAAAACAACAGCAGATGTAGAATAAAGGCATAAATGAAAACCAAGAACACCATTCACTGCATATCCACTTTCTATTTTCTTGATCTTATTCAAAATAACTAAAAAAACCCTCTTTGAATACAAATAAGATGAACATATTCAGATTCTGAAACATGTTACTGCTCTATCATTTACCTGAAGGCAGCTGCTGAAAGCTGTGCATTGCTTTCTAACATTTACTTGTGAGAGGAAGAACTAATGGCTTAAAACTATCCTCAAATACTCAGACAAGTTCCATGCCCTTCAGAACAGTCCAGCTACACTGAAATAGGAAGCAAGACTCAATGGGTTACGGTAACTGAAGGGAACTGAAGGGAAGTTTCCAGAAGAACATGTACCCATTTCCCAGTCTCCTTGAAGTTCCTACTTAGATCTGATGATCAAAAGCGATTAATTAATTTCAACATTTTGAGTTATCTCAAAATCTGTGGCATTACTTTGTTTTCAGCAATGTTTATTACCTTCAAGCCTCTTCGAAACAAGAAAGTTGCTTGACGAGTGTCTTTCTGTTGATTTAGTTTGTTTCCAATTCTGGCAAAAGCAGACGGCATGTTATTCCTGTAATATTTAGAAAACATAGTGAAAGGCTCCAAAGATAACATTTGAAAGAGACCACTATGAAGGTCAGGAAATTGCCCAATTGCCCACTAAAGACATCTGCGAAGCTGCCTCTTTGAGGCGGAACATTTCAGTCGCAATAAGCTTCTCACCTACGAGGAAAAAAAACATGTTATTTAAAAATGGAGAAATCTCTAGGACTAGAAATTATAGATCCATAGAATTGTTTAGGTTTGAAGAGACCTCTGAGATCATCAAGTCCAACTATCCTCCTAACGCTACAAATCCACTGGTCAACCATGTCCCTAAGTGCCACATCCACGCATCTCTTAAATACTTCCAGGGATGGTGACTTCACCACCTTCTTGAGCAGCCTGTTTCAATACCTCACCACCCTTCCTGTGACAGAACACTTCCTGACAGCCAGTCTAAACTTCCGCTGGCAGAACTTGATCCTGTCACCTCATGTCCTATCACCTGTCACCTGAGAAAAGAGACTGACACCCTCCTTGCTGCAACCTCCTTTCAGGTAGTTACAGAGAGTGATGACATCTCCTCTCAGCCTTCTTTTCTCCACACTAAACAGCCCTGGTTCCCTCAGCTGCTGTCCTCATGTCTTGTTTTCTCATCCCTTCACCAGCTTTGTTGCTCTTTGCACACGCCTGAGCAACTCAGTGCTTTTCTTGTAGTGATGGGCCCAAAACCAAACACAGTACTTGAAGTGTGGTGTTGGGTACAGAGGGACAATCACTTCCATAGTCCTGCTAGCCACCCTATTTCTGGTGCAGGCCAGGATGCCACTGGGCACCTTGACCACCCGGACATATTGCCAGCTCATATTCATATATTGGCCAGCACCCCCAGGTCCTTTTTTGCCAGGCAACTTTCCAGCCACACTCTTCAAAGCCTATACTGCTGCATGGGGCTTTTATGACCCAAGTGCAGCACCTGGCATTAGGACTCCCACGTCACAGGTTAATAATTCTGCTTCTTCTTTACTGTAATACCCTCCAGCACTTTATATTAGATAAAAACAAAGAGCAGTATTGGTAGCTGTAAACAAGCTGCGTTTACAGTTTCTACAAGAGTCACACAGTGAAAATTTCCATCACAGAGACCAGTTCAGCTGCAGGTTGTAACTGATACAGATCAATTCCGGCATAAATAAAATATGCAATACCTTCCAAGAAACGGAAGATGGCACCAGCTTCCACAAAGACATTTTATTTAGAAAATTCACTAAACCATGGTTGTCACTTTGAAGCTATTATGGAAATCCATCTTGGCCATTTTCACGTAGGCTGCCTATGATTTAAATGAAGGCAGAATACCAGACACTAACAAATGCAGGTACCTCCCAAGTGTTCTACACGGTAATAAGTACCTGCCTTTGTTCAAGACCATGTTCAGCTTCAGATCTACTGAACTTCATACACATGACAGTCTTGATAGTACTACAACTGCCAGTACCTACCATTTGCCCTCGGACCCAGTTCTGTCAGAAACAAGACTCATTATGGAAAGTTATCAAGAAGAGCTCAGAAAGCAGACATGGCATTTTACCTTCTGTTTAGTGGAGCAGGCCTCCTGAGGACTGGGATTTGTTTTCTCTGCATATCAGATTGTCTCTGCAAATTTGTTTTCTTTTTCAAAACTGGGTAATTCCGCTGTGCATTCTTAAAAAGGAGAAAATAAATAAATGCAATATATATGTACGATGTATACATACAAACACACACTAAACTGAATTAGGAACAATATAGCTATAACCTGAATATAATTACTGAGTCTTTTTCTATCTCTAAAAAGGGAAGTATTTCATGAATTAGTTGTTAAACTGAAACAGGTATATATTAGAACTGTCATTTAAAAACATCTGCATTTCTCTCCTGTGTGTTGTAACTGTATGCGCTTCTGCTGTTTCAAGCTTTGTCAGTTTTCCTGGAAATTTTTCCTTCAATTTTTGTTTGTTTACAAGCTGCACACAGAACACATTTTGCTTTGCCCACCTTTCACAGCTCACTATAATTTGAGAAATACCATCTATGCTGTTATGAATCATATGTTCCCCTCGTTACCAGGCCAAAAAAAGCAGAACTTAGAAGTTACTTGATTATTTTACCTCCCTATATATAACTGACAATAACTCCTCCACACACCTTTAAAATTATTCTTCACAAATCCAAAAGCAATCCCTGTTCTACAATACCAGAATAGATGGAATAGGCAGGAATGCACTGGAGGAACACAGAAGAGGGAGGCTGCTGAAAGAGGTATTTTGCAAAACTTCATTTTTGTGATAGGCCCATGTTTAACACCTGCATGCGTGTTGTACCATTGGTTTGTAGCAAAGCAATATAGATGACAAGAAATCCTAGTAAGTGAGCTTTTCTTGTAAAAATAAAATGCTCACATATTCTCACAGAATGGACTTCTGCGCTTCAATCTACACGGCTTGCTAAGTGTTCAAAACCTTTCAAACCTAGTCACTGTCCATCCCTCTCTCAAAACAAAAAAACACTCAGCCAACACACCTGCAATTTCATAAGAGGTTGTACCAGATGTCTGCACACTACAGAACCAGTATACTGGAATATATTTCAGTAGCACTAGTCTGAAGCCACTGTGTTCCATTTCTAATGAGTTCTTTTAGCAAAGTCAGAGTTACAGCTAATGCAGACAATTACATGAACCACTGGAACTGCATTAATTACCTTCTCACTAAGCGGCTGTCTGTTCAGAGGACTAATTCCTTTGCGTGAACCCATTGCTTTCTTGGCTGCCAAGCCAGTTTTAACTCCATAAGAACGCTTCTTCCCTGCTATCTTCTTTCTGTGTCCCAAACGATTTTTACCATAACCTGCAAAATAAAAAATAATTGAAGAGTTCAACAATTCTTACTGAAGTACAAAGTTTGTTGTGTTAAGATTCTATGCAAGCAACGCAGGTTTATTTGGCTGCACACTTCTACCCTTAGAGCAGAAAATATCACTACACTTGGAGACAGTTTGGTCATTCAGTTATTTTATTAAGTCTGGCTCTACAGCTAGCACAACAATAATCACCTCATACAGATGACAATTTTGCTTTCCTTCACTGAATTAATTAACGATGAAAACTTGTTATTTGACACGTCTGCAGGGACAACTTAAGAGTCCTTCTGGCATAGGAAACTACCAAATAAACCAAAATGGACCTTCATCAAGTGCTGAGTAACACAAAATCAAACCAAATAATTCAGGTCCCCAGCAATTCAGCAGACTTTAAATTACCAACTTAATAAAGAAAACAAAAAGAAAGAAAAAAAAAAAAAAGAAAAGCAACTTCAAAGCTTATTATGTACATCAGTGGTTCCCAAGACATAACTTAAGAAGAAAAAGAGTATAGCAACTGGCCCACAAAACCATATTAAACAATGTATGAATTACATCACATTTAAAGTGTTTTCAATTAGAAGCCTGCATTCTGCAGTCTACACAAGACTGAGAAATGACAGCTGTCTTTGGATATAAAAGGCTTGCAAGTCTAAGGTCTGTAGTATAAACATCTCAAGTCTCCGGTTACAAGGGTTTGGTTAACCCTGTCTGGAGCCATTTAGCTTCACGTTATGTAAACGCACCACACCTTGTTTTTTTCCCCAAGTTAGGATCCCCTCTAGAACCTCAGACTGCAAGATAAATTTAAGACTGAGAAGTCAGCTCTGCAGAAACAGGCACATCTAGTCCTGACATATGTGACTTCGTAGCACTGATGACAGATCTGTGCTTCCTCATGAGACAGGATCACGAGGCAAGCTGTGGATCAGAATCTAGCTTGGATAAATCTGCTGTTGAGAGACTGCTGTGTAACCACACTGTGTAGACAGTTAACAAATGCTCTTCCCCATTAAAAGAAAAGCTGAAAAACAGAGTTATTTAGGCTGGAAGGGACCTCACAAGCTCTCTGGACCAAGCTCTGCTCAATGAAATGACAACTTCGAAGTCAGCTCAGGCAGCCCAGGGTTTTGTGCAGTTGCATTGTGTATCACCAAGGACAACTTTTATTCAAATGGACAACGATCTTCTCTCTGATTCTCCCCACAAAAGCTGAGAAAGTCCCAGCTCGAGTTCCTTGCTTCCTTTCAGAGAGTTTGGCAGCAACTTCTAAAATCAGAGGGAATTGAATGCTGATCATTTGTGGTTTCTGTAGCTGTCCACAAACAAGAAAGGATTTGCCACTTATCAGAATAACTTCAATGGCACTGGAGTAGCAGTAAATCTACTGGTCATAAGTAAGTAATAATTAAGACCCTCAGAGGAACTATTTAATGATACCTTCTGCTCAAAAACAATATAGATGAGGGGTGCTTCAATGGGAGGAAATGTATGGAAACGCATGGACCTGTCTAGAATGGAGCAGTTAAAGCTATTCACAATGTTTCAACAAATGAAGCTAGCAATTATGGAAAAAAAAATATATATGTTTGCCTCTTTTTTTCTCCCCTAGAACAAGGGCAGACAAAGGAGGAAAGTCCAAGAGTTGAACGTATTACGGATTTTATATTTGAAGCTCTAGTTCTTCCTGAAATTCTAAATTGTAATACTTGCTTCTTTTGTGCCCTTCAGGTCACGAACAACTGCACTGGAGAACTGTGGTTGTAAATAAAAGCCTTCACTTGATAATCTACCACTTCAATTACTCTCTCACCTCCACAAATAGTCTCACACTTCATCTGACTGACATAAAACATTCTCCTGTATTGCCAACAATTTACCAAAGATGCATAAATTAATTAACACTGTTATGTTGGCCTGTCTGAAAAGCAAAACAACTCTGAGTTATGTGACATTTCATTGATCTCCAAAAGAATACAAACTCCTGCTACAATAAATATTAAGCAGTGACAATGAAAACATGAGATTACTTACTGTGAATACATCAGACAGATGTGCATTTGTTTTAAACAAATGCTACTCAACAAGAAACTGTGTATACTAAACAGCTAGCTCAGGTGGTAAGTGTTCTGTATGGACAGTACCAACCAGTGCTAAAAAGGTACTTTTCAAAATTAAACATAAGCAAAAAGTTTTTATTTCTAGCAGGTGCTCTTCATGTACCAGACTAATACCTGGGAATCATCTAAAAATGGCTCCTACTTATTGAAAAATCTGACAGCTACTCAGGAAATCTGCAGTAAAGGTGTTACTGAGCACTTTTCCCCTCTTCAGTTCCTGCCTACGTGACTTTTTTCCCCCAACTGCTGTACTCCACTGTAAAAGCACAGACTTAAGAAGGCTGCCATGGTACTAACTTTGCAACCCAAAGTCTTAACAAGAAAAGCCAACTCAGACACCCTGCACTATCCATCTGGATGTCCCAGAGGCAGCGTTACAGACTGCAGTAACAGCTATTTTTGGGAAGCCTACTAGGAGAATTCTACCTAGCATATATAAATCTATTGGCTCTTTTTCACAAAGCTCCAAAGTTTGGCAAGGCCTGCGCATTTCCTAATGTACAAGTTTTGGCATGAACCCTCTCTATCCACCTCTGTGAGACCAAGTATTAACACAATTTCCCAAACTGAAAGAAAATGAAAAAGAATCAGAAAGAAAGCCAATCCTTCTTTGTATCAAGAGAGTCCATGAAATACCTAAGCTCCCTGCTGGCTGGACATCTCAATGCTGTTCTAATACTGAAGCAGAAACAATCCCAAACGTAAATGAATCACAAAAAGCTGAACTATAATCAAAATTGTATACCACTATTTGAAAAACACACGTATTGACTGTGTCAATCCATGGTTTTTCAGGAGCTTACATTTCAGCTCAAAAAATACCACAGTCCACATCATATTTGATACACCCACCCTTCTGTTGTTGGATTCCCCACTTGGAGCCCGGTGTCCTGAACTGCCGAGTTCGATTCTGATGAAGCCCTCTTTTCATTTTGGGGGAATATTGCTTTCTCTCTTCTTTCTTGTTCAGCTTAATTATATCATCTGTAAGAAGAGGAAGGAAAAAAAAAAAAAAAGATTTGACATATTGCAGACATATTCTAGTTCTACAGAAGAGAAACCATAGCTGCTTAGAGTTAAGTGAAACAGACCAGTTAATCTTGAGAAACCAGCACATACAAGTTAAGTCCCAATTAGTCTTACAGTCCTCATTTGATAATATAATATAAATATAATATAAAGCAGCTGTTGCACACATTCAGAATATCCAAGATACATGAAAGACCATTAAGTTTCAAAACAAATGATCTGTTAGTTTTTGTAGACCATTGAAGAAAAGGTAATCCCATCGCACTCTCACACCTTCCAGGCTATAGAAAAAATGTTAGTTCAAGCCTTAACTCTTTCACCCTATGTTACTCAATGAAATCACACAAAGGAACTCAGGCTATCGGTTATCTTTATAAGTTCACTGAGGTTCAGATGACAGGAAAAAGCAAGCAAGACTTCTCTCCCCAAGTACCTGCAATCCAAAGCAATCACCTTATCTATTGTCGTAGAGAACAACGTTGAACAAATTATTACTGGGTTTAAGAATACGTGTAAGATTATAAACTGATAAATTCATGAAAAGCAAACAGGTCTGTCAATAGCAAACCGTGTCACACCAGCCTGATTTCATCCACTGATCAGGGAGCTGGATCAGGAGATAAGTGTAAAGTAACAGCTGTGGTATGCCTTTACTTGACTCTTAGCTTGTCTACAAAAACACCATAAAAGAAGATGTCAAATTATACTTTATTGCATCTCAATCGTGGGAGCACAACTGACACTAATGTCATATTCCAGAGAGATTCCACGTATACAGACATTCCCTTCTGAGTCAGGGAGAGAAGGGGCAGGGTTGCTGTATTTAATCAAGTTCAAATGGACTTAGATGGGGTAGAAAAGAGAAAACAGCGAATAGAAAAAAAATCATAAAGTTTCATTCGCAAATGCTTTGTATCCTACTGATAGTGAAGAGAAAATCAGCCTACTTTGCTGCAAAAATGAATGAATATCTGGAAAAAAAAATAGGTAAAGGACTGCTGATACAGGTCACTCAGGTTTCAATTGCTATAGAAGCTTCTTTACCAAAGAGCTCGTCCCTATGGGAAGGATTCCTGAACAAACCTTTCTGTATGACAAAGGAAACTAAAGCCACTTCAGAATGGTATCTAGCTCAAAAATAGCTGAAAATATCACTGACAACTGCAGTACTCAGCTGGAAGCATTGCTCAAGCTTAGTATCAGCGATAAACAGGTGCTGAGCAAAAGATAAAGCTTCCCAACCTTGGACCTCCAGAGCCTTGAAGAGCTGACCCTGGAGCTCTTCAAGAAACATGTAGATGCAGAACTCAGCAGCATAGTTTAGCGCTGGACTTGTCAGTGCACAGTTAAAGGTTGGACTAGATGATCTTAGATGGCTTTTCCAACCTGACTGATTCTGTGACTCTGTGTACTTCTCTATAATGGGTACCTCCCCCCTGGTACCTGTGATGTAAACTATCTATGTTCAGAGAACTTGGATCCTTGTTTCACAGTTCATCTGCTCCATCTTAGATCCCATTCTTGCAAGACAACCAGCTGTTGATGCACACAGGCTTGCAAGTTTTTGAAACAAAAGGACTAAAGTTTCAGCAATTCTCTTATTTGGGGAAACGAAGGTTACCTAGGACATTAAGCTTCATGTCGTCTTAACTAAGGAATGTGTTCTCCTACCTTGTCTGCAATCAGAGATCAAAACTACACCTGGAACAGCAGAATAATTTATGGATATTATCAAACTGGAAGCTTAGCCTCAGATGAGTTGCACACACTAGCAATAAAAACAGGTTTAATCTTTATTAGTACAAGAGAAAGTACTCAACACTAAGTTCTAGATCCTACGATTTCCTGGTTTAGCATCATGACAATTTTTTGTTACCATGACAGATGTGGGACTGAAGCTTATCTTCCTTTACAGCAGGCCGTAAAACTATGACTTAGGAACAGTAGGTGGTGACGAAACTGTTCTCATGTAAGTTTCCCCTGAAATTAAACAAGCTAAGGGACACACCCACCCTCTACAGATTCTTTAACATAAAGTCACCGTGACACCACAACAGTTCTTCGCCATTTGTTACTGGGCAATGCCCAAAAAGAACATGCAGCAGTGGCAAATACAAAAGTTAATTTGGCCAAATAAGAAAATATTTGACTTTATGAAAGTAAGCTAGTCGCTGAGAATCAATGACCTTATTCTTAGTAACCTTGGAAACAAAGACTCAGTATGCTCGTCTATAAATAAAAATAGATTTATTGGAATGCTGTAGTGGGACTTGACATTCAGAAAAACTCTCAACATCATTTCACGAGTCATCACCAGAACAAAGAACTCCACTGGATCCTCTAGAAAGAGAAAAAACGTATATATCCTCGTATTTTAAGGTGATCCACAAAAGCCAAGTCTACCGTTGCATTCAAGCCATGATTTCAGTGTTTGAAGGGAACCTCCTGACGGTACCGATCCACCACATGAGCAGTCTCGGAGCCACACCACCAGGTTTTTGCTGCTGGGGTATTTCTGAACAAACCCTGACTGGAAGACGTACTCCAGGCATCCACCAAGCGTTCCGCCAACTACCAAGCAGGCTCAGCAGCGAGGATCAGAGCAGAATTAGTTTGGAAATGTACAAATAGTGAGGGGGGCAGGTTGCGGGCCCTACCTGAGGGGCAGCAGGCCTGAGGCGGCCCTACTCCTTCCTAACAGGCTGGGAGGGCAGGGGAATGGAGGCAGGACAGGGAAAGGGCAGCAGGTGCGGGCCGTGCCCCGGACACCCCCCTCCCACCCCAGGAACCCACCTCAGGCCTCCGGGCTCGCCCCCAACCGACAACGGCGCCTCCCCCTCCCCCCCCTCACAGCCGTTGGCTCGCTCCGCACCCCCTTTAGCTCAACCCCACGGCCCCGCGGCTCACCCAGGGACATGTCGATCTTCTCCAGGCTGTCGCTGCTCCCGCTCCGGGCCCCAGCAACGGCCGAGGAGGCCGCAAGCGGCGCCGCAGCCCCGAACCCGCTCATGGCCGCCCTGCCTCAGCCGCCTCCCCTCAGCCGCCCCGAACCGACGGCGGGCGGGCCTCGCGCATGCGCACTGCGCACGCGCCGCAGCCCTCCCCTCAGCCCGCGCCCCCTCCCCCCAAAATGGCCGCTGGCGCGTGCGCGCTGAGCGCCCCTCAGCCCGCGGGCCCGTGGTCGGATGCGGGGGCCGAGCCCAAAGTACCACGTTAGGATTAAAGTTGTCATTTAAAAATAAAACGATATGGAGAGTGATGTTTTGTTTGCTTTGGATTTTTTGTCAAAGTTGCTTTCTGCAGGTTTTTGTCAGTCACGATTCTGAAATTCAGGACGATTCATAGAAACACTTTGGTTTTCTTCAATAAACAATCTAGCAGAGCCTTTTTTCTTTTTTTTTTTTTTTGTGTATTTCTGTTCTGTGGAGGTGTGTGTACAGCTGAAGGGGCGACAGTACATGCATACCTAGTGGCCAGCTGACTGCTGCTACATGAGGTGTAACAAGGCTGGGACCTTCCTCTTTTTCATAGAATCATTAAAGTTGGAAAAGACCTCTGATTCAAAGAACAAAGCCAAAATTTCTTAGTGACGAAGTATCCTTTATTGTCAGCACTGAGTGCACTGGGGATCCTTCCGCCTAGTGTGCGTGTTCGAAGTGACAAACTATCTCATATTTATACAGCAAAACTATGAATATACAATTAACACATATACGTTTTCATTACCTAAACCTGCCTACTCTTACTTTGTATGCTAATTAGCTTATCAGTCCTTTGCACTTGCGCGAAGCCTTCCAAGAATTGTGAGCAGGGGTCTTCAGGATGTTGGCAGTGGTCTTTGGGAGGAAGACCGTAGGTCTTCCTCATGGTGTGCTTTTCACCTTTTGCTAGAAAATGCTGAGTTGGCTGAATCAGTTATCTTCCAAGCTGCAGGAATGCCTAGTTTTAGGGTTTGACTGACTTCATGCAGACTTCAGGCACTATATTGCAAACGCCCTTGGGCAGGAATAAATATTTCCACAGACACAACCTCCCCTTATAGTGCGAACACTCCCACGTTTCATTAACTGCCTACATACAACATATGTTCATTTGCTATAACAAATTTTCCCTAGCAAATACCTCTCTGCCAAAATGCAATACCCAAAGTACCCAGCGCACAACTAAATCCTCATGTATGTAATCCCTGGCACGGTTTTTATCCTTCTATGCCAGGAGGTACCTTAATCTAAATACTAGGCAGTCCTTTGCCCCTTAACTGCAGAATGAGATCTTTTTAGGAGTATAAATCATGAAGAGCAAGAATGACAGGAGAGAACTGAGGATCTGTGCTGCACCATGAACTGTTGACAAGGCCTTTTCCATCCCTTTATGCTCTTTATGCATGTCTTTCCTTTTAAAATAAGGCCAATAACATGCTTCTGGATTCTCCTCTTACTGAATTCTACTGTCTGGAAGAGAACGGCTCAGTTAACATCACAGGAAATCTTCAGCTAGTGAGAGATTTTCCTGACATCCAAGCAGGAGTAGCTCACAATGACGGTGCAGGATGCTGTGGGTTCTGTCCCCATTTTCTTCTCTGTGTTCTCTCATGTGCAGCATAACTTCAGACACAGAGTCTTGGAGCCAAATATTTGATAATTTTTGCATTTTCCTCCAGATGACAAGTGGGATTTGATGACAAGTGATTGATGATGTGTGGGACTTGAGGTTTTTAAAGGTCACATTTCTAAAGGAAAGATGCTATCGCCAGATTACCGATAAATACTAATAATGGAGGTGTCAAATAAAATGTGCGTTTTTTTCAAAACCTTAAACCAAATTCCTGTGATGCTATAGGGTGCAGCTCCATCTGGTGACTGTGTCACGCTGACAAACAAATGCTGTTTACCCAAAACAAATATGCTAACTGCAAAGGTGGCAGATGCTGCCTGCCCTCGCGGCAGGTGGAAATCAGACACGATCCAGATTGTGCCACATCAATTTGTTGCATTTATTATCCAAACAGGACACCAGCTGTCTCCTGCTCTGCACAACATAAAACCAAGCAAAGGTTCTGATCACAAAAAGTAATTTTACAGCGTTCAAAACAGCTAAAATAACACAGAGATGATAGAGGCAACCAAACAAACATCAGCTCTTGGTTTTCTGCCTACCTCTCAGGATTGTGACAGCATCTGGATGAGTGACAATGGTTCCATATGGCATTCACAATTGTAAAGACTTTATACTTTAACTGTAAAAAGGATTTGTTTCTGTCCTCAGATTTTTTTTTATCATTATTATTTTTTGTCTCTTTTTTAGTCTCCCAACCATCTTCCAGCTCTCCAGGGCTTTGAGTTAGTTATGTTTGTTCACTTTGTAATAGAGCTAAGTGTATCAAGAGATTGGTGTACCTGAAGAATGTTTTATTTCTTTCTTTATATTTACACATTTAACACCTTTTTCACTGGGCTCAGCTCAACATCATTTCTAGGCTCTCTCTGACTTGTGGAGCTAGGAGAATCTTATAATTCCCTATTTAAGAGCTGTATTAGAATTGTAAGCTTCATCTGTACGCTCCATTTAACCTGGTGTGATGACTAACAGTGATCTTACAATAGTCTTTCTCCGAAACTTATACTGTGAAAGTTAATTGTTACACAGTGCGAGCCATTATCAGATGCCAATCCCCTATATACAGCACACCGACCCCTTACGCGCGGTGCACGCCGGGACCTGTAGTCCTCCCCGCGCGCAGGGGGAGCCGGGAGTTGTAGTTCCCGCGGCGAGGTGGGCGGGGCGGGCGCTCGCCCCCACGTGACAGCGGCGGGGCGGCGGCGGCGGCGGCGGCGGGGCGCGCGCGCGCCCGGGATGGAGGTCGAGCCCCGCGGGGGGCGCGCGGAGAGCAGGTGGGGGGCGCGGGGGCGCGCGCGCTGCGGGAGCGCGCGGAGAGGGCAGCGGGGATGGGGATGGGGGAGATGGGGGGTGGGGGGGTGGCATCCCGGGGGTGCTGGGGTAAAGGGGTGGGAGAAGGGGAGAGGGAGCAGGTTTTGGGGGTAACGGGGAGGAGTCGGGTAAGGGGTAGCCGGGGATGGGGCTGCAGGTGGGTGGCAGCTGGGGGTGGGCTGGGGACAGGCTGGGGACATGCTGGGGACACACAGGGACATGGTGGGGATGCATGGGGACACACTGGGGACACATGGTGACCCGTGGGGACACGCTGGTGACATGCTGGGGACACACAGGGACTCATGGGGACATGCTGGGGACACATAGGGACCCATGGGGACATGCTGGGGACACATGGAGACCCGTGGGGACACACTGGTGACATGCTGAGGACACATAGGGACCCATGGGGACACATGGAGACCTGTGGGGACATGCTGAGGACCCATGGGGACATGCTGAGGACACATAGGGACCCATGGGGACATGCTAGGGACACACAGGGACATGCTGTGCAGTAGCAGCACCGCAGGAGACAACAGGGATGTGTATCTGTGGGTGTGCTGCCTGGCCATGCCGAGCACCCATGGGCGACAGGGCTGCGTGGCAGTGGTGCAGGGACATGTGCCATGAGCGCCCGATGTCCCCGTCCCTGTCACCTGCCATAGTGGAGGCTGCCCAGCCCTGTGCTGCTGGTGCTCGGTGAGGAACCACCCTGCCTCATCCCCCTGCTGCACCTCTGGTGCCTCCACATCTGGCTGGGTTTGGGGTTTGGGTTGTGTCCCAGCGCCCTCCTGGCAGTTGCCCGCTTTGGATCTTTACCCCAAATCCCCAGCTCCTCGCTGCCTGTGGCCACCAGGCTTGGTGGCTGCACGTGGCTGGCGGCTCCCGCTCCCTGAGCCTGGCAGGTGACAGCGGCAGCGCTGCGGCAGCTCGGTCGCTGTGATCCAGGCAGGGTTTTGCTGGTTTGCATTTCAGCAGTAACGCAGCTCCTTCCCTGCAGGCGTTTCGGTGGTAAGTGCTGCTTCAGGTGTTCGCAGGTCTGGGTTTGGGGCTCCCGTTTTGCAGTGCTGTCCCAAAAGGCAGAATGGACGTCGGATGGAGAGGGGCCGGGGAGGAGGGAACGGCTGAAACCTGATCCACGAGAGGCATTTCTTATCTGCCAGGCTCAGCGAGCTGCTGCTGGCTGTCTGCTCACGGTGCCAGCTGTGAAAATGGGACCGGTGCTTCTAAAACCACGGTGCAGCTTTGGGCTGCCATGCCTCGCGTGGTTCGAGCCATTCTCCTTCTTCGAGCTGAGGTTTCAAACCCAGCGCATTCAGGAAGACAGATGGAATTGCCTGCGTTCGTTTATTTTTCCAGAATCATCTTTGCCTGTTTTCCTGCCTTTCTAAGTGCAGGCCCTGCTCTGCCCGACCACATCGCTGCGTGATGGGTAGGGCCGACGTGGTGCCACGTTCACCGGGGGGAAGAAGAGGGCATCGTCCCCTCTGCTGCACGTGGAGGTGTCTGTCTGTCCTCCTGGCTGTCTGATTTGGCACCGGGGAGGATTTTGGCACTGGAGGGCTTTGCCTTGTCCTTTTTACCAACGCTGCAGCACCCTGCTTCCCAGCAGTCTCCGTAAGAGCAGGGGCGAGGCTGAAAGTGCCTGTAAAGCCCGTGTGCTCCCCGGGGGCCCTGTCAGTGCCGTGGGGAGCTGCAGGTGGGGGCTGCGTTCTCTGGGGGACCTTTTTGTGGCTGTGCCCCCGTTTTAGGAACCGCAAGCTTCCAGTCCTGCTGCAAGCAGCCCTGCATGTGGGTTTCCAGCTCTGTGGGGCTGAGCCGCTGGGCTGAAGGAGCTGTGGGGCTTTTTGGCTTGTGAGCTGCTCCCCATGAACTGCACGAAGCCTGCGCTTCTTTTAATTCCCCTTTTCCAGAAGCGCCAAGCCTGGCGGGGGAGCAGGCAGCAAAGCACAAGGAAATTCGCTGCTCGTTGTCTAGGAAACCCGTGGACGGGTGGATTCAGAGCTGCCTGCGATGGATTCAGAGCTGCCTGTGCGCAGCAGCAAGGCGCCGGCACCTTGAAATCCGCAGGAGGAGCAGCCAGAGCAGGAGCGTCCCCGGGGATGTGGCACAAGTCCCTCTGTGGTTCCCCCTGAATGACCTCGGTATCCTCAGCCTGATCTCTTTAGCGTGCTAAGAAGGATCAAGCGATGCCTCCAGGTAGAGAGCAGTGCTGGGGCAGTGAGAGCATGGGAAGGCATCCGGCACGTGCTGCTTGTAAGGAGGATGAGCTCCATTTTCTTGGATATTGGTTACCTCTGTGATTTTTTTTTAATTTTTATTTTTTTTTAACGAAGTTCACCTGACTCAGCAGCGTCTGTTCTGAGTCACCTCTGCCGATTTGGCCCAGAGGTTGTTCCTACTCTTGCTAGCGTGGAAGGGCTGAGAAAGCCTTGGGAGAATTCCGTCTCTCCGCTGAAGCTGGAGCAGGTCCAGATTCTCACCCGGGTACCGTCAATCACAGCACATCAGAGAACATCCCTGCCTGCACGGGGCTGAGCTCCCGTGAGCAAAACCCCAAAAAAGCAGCTTGTGGGGCAGGCATCGAGCAGAGCAAACCTCCTCCTGCCACCTCTTCTTTCTCCCCAAAAGCTCGGGAAGCCGGGAGCTGCAGCAGGATGCAGCAAGGAGCTGTGCAAACGCACCCAGCTGGTGTGGAGGGGGGAAGCACCCGTGGTAGGGCACGGAAGGAGCAGCACGTACGGCTCTCGCAGGGGAAGGTCTGCTCGTGTACTGTGACCTCCCTTGGGTGTGTTGCTCCCTTTGCCCTTCCTGTGAGCAGGGGTATTTTCATGATATGATTTGAATCGTCTTTACCCCGTGTCAGGGCGTGCTAGGCTCTTTTTTTTTTAGAACTAGAGAAGCATTTTCTTTATTTGGTGAGAAAGAAGCAGATTTCTTAGTAGCGCCCTGAACATCTGCAGAAACAGGGAACTGGAGGGCAGCTGGCACCCGGCAGTTTTCCACCCCTCCGGGCAGCCCAGGCTCTCTCAATGAGAGGGGAGCGAATCCTGCCACTAATTAAGGGTTAACCCAAAAGTCCAGTCAAAAGTGGCTGTGGTCAGTTGTGCCGTGCCTCCCTGCCCTACACCTGCAGCCAGGTGTGTGGGTCTGAATTTCCCTGGGCTTGTGTCACCGCCAGCTTTTCGGCAGGCAGCGCGCTCCAGCCCAGAATCGTCTGCGGTTTGGGTGTGGGTAAGGTCCTGCGAAAGGCTTTTGAATCATTTGGATCAACAAGCCCCATCCCTTGGGAGTCTCTGTGTTGATTCACAGATCTAATTCACTTTTGGCAGCTTCTGAATCATCTCCGTGGAGGTGCTTCGCTGGTGCCGATTGTTTCCTGCATGCCTCTGAGCTCAGCGACAGCGGCACTGCTTTCGCGTTTTTGGGCTGTTTTGTTTGAAGATGAATTTGTGGTGGAGGAGCTGTGCTTCCCGTTTGCTGGATCCCGATTTTCCTGCCTCTGGGGGAGCACTGCTCAGCCTGCAGCGTGCGCTGCCCCCCCGTCTGCGAGCTTTTTATGGCACAAAATAGCGAGGAGGGAGTTTTCCTGACTCACAGACTTGGAAGCTGGGCGGCGTGGCTGAGCTTTCACTTGCATTTCCCAACTCTGAGTGTCAGAAATACTTCGGGGAGGAGCTGCTTGAGCTCTCGTGTCCGGTGGCGGCTCAAAAAAGCCCCTCAATTCAGATGGATGGCTCGCAGCCCTGGCTTCCTCTGCCCTGGGCAGTGGTGGAGGTGTCAGGCTTGCTCACTTTGTCAGTTTTGCAATAACAAACCAGTCTCAAAAGGAGAATATTGGCAAGAAGAGCTTGTTTTCAAGGAACAGGATTATATTGCTTGTTCGTGTCCTCTGCACCGCGAGAAGCATGCGGCCCATAATTTATCCCACAAGGATGAAAACGAAAGCAGGTTTTCCTTTTTTTTTGTGTGTTTACTTTGGCAATCTGGTTTATTTTGGGCAGGGAGAGGGATTAACAGCTGAAACACTGGGGCTTGTTCTTGCGGTGTAAAGGTTAAACTTTCATTCCAGGCTGTTATCTCCAATGCTTTTGTTTAAATCCTGCAGAGGCACATTTTTTTTTTTGGACAGTTGCACACCCAAATATACCTTGCAACATTCCTATTGCACGCCTTGCAACATTCCTGTTGCTTCTGAGAGGGCGGCTCCTGTCTGAAGACATCTTTTTGGCAGCTGGCATCACCGTCAAAAAGCTTGAATGGGGAAGGCCAGACGTCCACCATCCAAAATTTCCTTCCCCAAAACTGCTTTTGCACAGGCAAGCTGTGGTACCCGTCTGTGCTGCCTCCGGAGGCTGTATCAGTGGTGGCTGCTAGTCACATGTACATCATTACTGTAGGGCCTCTTGTCCACAAACCGTGTGTTGGAGACCACAGGGCTAGACCACAGAGAGGTGTGAAGTCCTGAAGCTGCTTTCTGGACTACCAAAAGTTTCGGTCTGACCAGAGTCTCTGTGTGGGGAGTGTGTCTTGCTCTGAAGCTCCTCTTGCAATATATTTGCTGCTCGGTAGGCAACCCGCTGTGTTCCTCTGCAGGAAGGAGCACTGGAAGCTGCTGGGCAACCTGAAGACCACCGTGGAAGGGTTGGTGTCCACCAGCAACCCCAATGTCTGGTCCAAGTATGGTGGCTTGGAGCGGCTCTGCAGGGACATGCACAGCATCCTTTACCACGGGCTCATCCACGACAAGGTAGGTGTCTGTCCTGCCAGCCCTGCTGTCCTCCTGCTGCAGCTTTGGTGTCACGCATGGCTTGCATCACGAGCACTGTGGCTGTCAGAGAGACCTGTGCCTCTGTTCTTTCCAATCCGTGCACTTCTGACACGGTTTTATTAAGCATCCATGCCCTCTGTGAGGAGAGGCCTCCCTTTCGCCCCGCTGCAGCCTGTAGCAAAGCGATAAAGCTGAATTTGCCATGAGTCAGCCTCCAGCCGTGTGCGCTTGGACAAGTCCCCAGTGAGGTCTGGCAAGAGGAGCCTTGTATCTTGCCTGTTTCTGGTGTCAGTGATAGGGGCTGGCAGCCGCAGCTGCGCTCCGCGTCAATGGGGCCTCCTTCCAGGCTCATCCAGCCCTCGCCGACTGCCAGGAAGACTTTCTCTTTCCCTTTTTGTGCACTGGTTGTGTGCAGACACCTGAAGATCTCCCCTTCAGCTTGCAATTACCGCTGCTGTTATTTCACAAGGGAGAGTTACAGCAAGCCTGCAGGCCGTGCCTCGGGCAGGCTTCCCACCAGCCAGCTCTGCAACTACAGAGGTGCAGAGAAGCCCAGGGAAGGTTTGTGCAGCTGGGGCTCTGCTTCCACTGATTCAGGCAGTGCTGCATCCGAGCTGATAAACCTCCAGGAGCTGGCAGATCATCCCAAAACAGGGCTGGGATTTCGCTCCCTGCATTTGGGAGCTCTGGGCCATCAGTCCCCAGCGGTGTAGGCCCGTGACCTCCTTTGGGACTTGAGCAAAGAGAGAAGTTACCCTTCATATGTGGGGAATACAGTGCTCATTTCTGATAGACGTGCTATTAATAGGCTTCAGGAAGTGAAATTTAAATGATTTCCACTCATCTGTGTATTGGTAACCGTTCATGCCACAGCTTGGGGAAACAGACACCTGCAAAGTAGGACAGCACAGTGCCTTTCGTCATGCTACACACAAAGGCAGTTCTCAATTAGAAATGGTCCTTCAGTGTTGTGTGTGTGTGACACCACTCCAAATATAATAGCTGCAAAGGCAGGCCCATGCAAATACAGCTTCCTCACTGGAGTTTTCTCATATTTATTCCAGAGAAACTTCCTTTTATTTATTTTTTGTATCAGCTTTTCTCTGTGACTAGGAGTAAAAAATAAAAATAAATCCATATGTACATGCTAAGAGATCTAGGATAAGAGGTTTTTAAACTATTGAGTGAATTTTGTTAATTTGTTCAGAAAACCCCAATTGAATATAAAGGGCTAAAATTTCTGTGTTAGTGCTCTAGTCTTAAAAAAAATAATAATAAAACAACCCCCTCACACAAATAAACCACAAAACAGAACCAATTTGTCTGACACTTGTGAAAGAGGAAGTAGAGATGGAGGAAAAAACCCAGCATTTTTGTGAAGAGAGACATTCCGGGGCTGCGTTTACACCCGATAAAGCGATGAGGAAAACAGCAGCTCTTCTGCAGTTCCTCTTTAACTGGAAGAATAAGAAACAAAAAATAACTCGGTGTCTGAATAAAGTCAAGGCAAACAGCAAGTTGCTGCTGGAAACGCAATGCCAGAGCATGCTGCTTCGAGTTTCTTACCCGTGGTGCTCAGCCATGCCGGTGTCCTTGTCCGTGGCTGGTGTTACAGGACCCTGGTTGTTGCAGGTTTTGCTGGGATGTGTTTCTTGTTGCCCATGGCATCCCCTCGCTGAAGCCTGGCCCTTTTTGTGGGACTCAGCTGCCAGGTAGGAGGTGACCAGTGACACGGGAGCTCGGCCAGCTCTGACCTGGGCAGACCGCCATAGGCAGCGAGGGGTGTGTACGTGACATGGTGATGCACAGAGTGACCAGGAGGACACGGGCAGAGGGCTGAGGCACTGGACACGCTTTGCTATAGGTGCAGCCAGCACCCGAGGTCACCCTTCTCCTGCCCCTGTGCCCGCTCCTGCCTGGGTGGCGGTGCTGGCTCTGCTCCCTGGTCCGCTGGTGAGCTGCCGGTGGCCTTTAGTGTCCTTCTTACACTGAGGTGGAGGGAAACTTTCAATGCCATGTCCCTTCCCGGTCTTAAGATCTGTGGGCTGGGATCTTACCTGCTGGAGGAGAAGCAGCGGAGGGGACCTGCTGTCTTCTTGCCTGTGGGTGAATGCAACGGGGAGGCCACTGTGGGAGCAGACAGCTTGTGTACATCGTCAGTGTTTTGTGACTTGATCCCTTTCCCGATTTTATGTCTATAAAACTAGGCTAGACCTTCTCACTGATTCTTTTTCCCCTTCTGCAAAGCAACTTTGCTCTTCCTGTTGCTTTCTAGCTCCAGGCCCATCTTGCTAGGGCTGGGGGCTGTGCACTGGTGATAGCATGGGGTTAATGGGAAATGTTGTCCTTAACTGGGGCTGACACCGTGCTGTGCGTGCTCCTGCTTTGCATTTACAGAGCGCTCAAGCAAAGCTGGAGGGCTCTGTGGTCAGAACAGCTCCCCGTCCCCAAACCTCTAAGCAGGAGGCTGATAGGAACAGGCTGTAGGATCCATCCTATCATGTTCTAGGTTGAATGCCCTCTCCTAGCTGACCGATTCTTTTATTTTGTGTTTGCTGGGAAGGAGTTTATCCCCCGTTCCCTGTCAGTGCCTGCATAGTCCTGGGGCAGCTCTGGGGGTGCCTGGTGTCTGGCTTCCCCAGTCCGAGCCTGCTGCACCACTCGGCCTTGTGGTGGGACTGGTGTGGTGGGCCCTAACCGAGCCTCTCCCGGGCAGGTGTGCTGCAGGCAGAAGGATTACTGGCAGTTCGTCAAAGACATTCGCCGGCTGAGCCCCAGCTCTGCTCATCACCTGGAGAAGGTGAGTCCTGGGGGGTGCCTCTGTGTACCCAGCGGGCGGGGAGAGAGCAGCCGGGCTGCGGGCCTCCCTGCTGGGATCGCCTTGCCTTGGCCTGCTGCGGGTGAAAAAGGGACGAAGCAGCCACGTGGTTGTGTGCAAGCCACATCCCGGGAACGCGGCGTGATTTAGGCTGAGACAATCGGGTCCTTATTTCTCACGGGCCAGTCTCCAGCTCCTCTTGGTTGGGTACCACTGGCGTCACCAAGGGAACCGGCACAGGCAGTGCTTCTGTGCATACAAGAGCGATTGATGCGTTGGTACAAATCTCCAGAGGCTTTGGCTGTCTCATTTCTGGGTTGTGTCTCAGCCCTCACCATTCATTTGGTTCTTCCATGCCTGGCTTGTGCTGCCTGCTGACACACGGGGATGCTTTCAGCCCGTGGCTGCCCTGTGCCCTGATGGACGCCGTGCTGCCCTGCAACGCGGGCTCAGCCGTGTGAGCAGGGTCTGCTGTGGGGCAGTGAGGATGGACACGTCAGTTAATGTGTCAGCGAGAACATGACCGTCACTGCAGGAAAGCAATTAGGTTTGGGAGTGTGGGGTCCCTCCAGGTCAGGGGTGGGAGAACATGCCATTGAAATTCATAGTGCTGCTGTCTGTCGGGAGGACTTTGGTCGCTCCTGCTGGCTGACCTTTGAAGTGTTGTTCCTCGCCAGTGCTTCTGTCTCGCTGTGCTCCCTCGGTTGGTAGCTGGGAAGCTGCTAGGATGTGACCGTGTTCCCGCAGGCAGTGCCTGGCGCTGGAAAGCTGCTGCTCTCAGGGGCCAAAGCTGTGAGGAGGAACGATCCCTGCTCCTCTTCTCACCTTAACATTTGTTTCCAGTTCATCAGCCTGCACGAGAACGGCCAGCCCGGCCCAGACGGCCGCAGCGACCAAGCTATCGCCAAGCTGTGGCTGCAGCACAGCCTGCAGTTCCACTGCCTCTCGGCGCAGCTCAGACCTCTCCTGGGGAACAGGCAGTACATAAGGAAATTCTACGCAGGTAAATAAAAACGGGCCTTTTCCATCTGCCCGTGAAAATATCCCGTGTGAGCGAAGGGGACAGCAGGAAAGCTGGTTTGCTTCTGGGCAATCTGTGCTGTCGGGCAAAGCGGGTGACTTGTGTGCTGTGTCCATGCTGCAAGCACAGCCCGGATGCATGTAGAAGAGCTGAGCTCAGGCTTTCTGCAGCAAGCTTGTCTGGAGCACGCTTGGTCCTGCCTGTGTCTGGGCCCTCCCTGCTGCCCAAGCGAGAGCTTGAGCCTGTGTGAACATGCTGGACATCCTCATCTTCTTTCTCTTGCAGCAGCTTTTTTGCATGCGCTCAAAGGTTTCTGCTGGAAGTAGTGAATCGGTCTGGTCTTAATCCTGTGTCCAGGCTTTTTATTAGAAAGAAACAAAATGGGCATAGAAAGTCAGTTTTGAATCTGTTTCAAAAATACTCTGGGCTTTTTTCTCCCCTGGAAGCTTTCTAATCATCAGAGGTCAGAGCTTGTTTTGTGGAAACGCAGCTGTGTTTCTACTACGTTGTAGGTGAAAAATGAAGCCCTTTGTGCAGCTTCACAGATGTTAAGCATTTTTGTGAAAACTTGAGATTTTGTCAAAAAGTGAATATCATCAGCAAGGACAAAGATTACGTATATTGATCTGGGTCAGGATATTTCTTTAATTCTGCGTTTTAGAGTAGTGGGCTGGCTGTGGTTGTCCTACAGGATGAAGTGCAGGCAGCAAACCCCTCCGTGAGGGCTCAGGCTTTGCCTCTCTGCTGCAAGAAGAGCATCCTGCTCCTCCTGCTGCCCTGGTGCTGGGGGTGGTAAGGAGAGAGCCCCCTGACAGCAGTTCTCTCCCCGCAGACACTGCCTTCCTGCTCAGTGACGCCCACGTCACGGCCATGCTGCAGTGCCTGGAGGCTGTGGAGCAGAACAACCCCAGGCTGCTGGCTCAGATCGACACATCCATGGTGAGCTGAGGCCCCCGGCTTTTGCATCTGGCCCTCCCTAAATGCTGTCCGGCTGTGGCTGCTCGTACAATGTCTCATTCAGGGAGCTGTTGGACAAGGGCCTGGACTGGGAAATAGCAAAAGGAGAGGGAATTGGGGTAGGGGGGAGATGTCTGTAGCGAGGCACCTTGCTTCTGGATGGCACTGAGAATCTGAGGCCCTGGTAGCAGGCTCCAGTTCCTTTAAAATACCTCTAAAGTCCTGAAAGTCCCAGGCTTCAGAGCCAGCCGTCCTCAGAGGAGATGCCACCGACCCCGTGCAGCCCCGTGCCGGCTGCTCTCTCCCCAGAGGAGGGGAGCAGTGGCTGCTTTCTTTGCAGAGAGCTCCCCAGAGGGAGGATAATTAATGACACTTGGTTAAATGGGGGCTCTGTTCTTTCAGCTGGCCGGCACGTCACTGCCCTCCCTGTGCTCGTCAGGTCCCTCTGCCGGGACAAGAGATGCACGTGACTGTGACGCTGAAGGACACCAGAGCCGCTTGCCTGGGGCACTGGGCTGCCTGGATCATCTTGCTGAGAGCCTGGTAATTTTCAGACGGGGGCTTTTTGTTGAGCTGTGAATAAAGAGCTGCTTCCCTTTGCTGCGGGGTGTTTTCTCCCACCCGGCTGCCCCAGGGCAGGTGCTTGTGCAGGCGCTGCACGTCCAGTCGCTGCTCCTTTGACACATAGCCCTGTAAGTGCTGATTTATTCATGATGCCACCTGTTTTCAGCTCACCAGGAGGGGTGAAGGTCCTTCTCCAGTGACAAAGAGCCAGAGCCTGACTGCCCTCCCCGGGTCCCCGTACGCCCCGTCTGCAGGCTGCACGCAGCAGCGCCACTGCGGGTCCTTCTCCAGCCTGCCCCATCCAGCCTCGTCTGGCCTGCCAGGTAACCAGGGGGGGGCTGGAAGCCCACTTGAGCCCCTTGCTCACTCGGTGTCTGTCTGTAGAGCACACGCTTCAGGCTGAATCATCTCAGATGCCAAAACGCGGGTCCAAGCAGAGCTGCAGTGAAGCTGCGGCTGGGACAATGGTTTGCCTTCTTTGTGCTTTGTGTTAGGTTCTTTGTGTGAGGAGAACTCTGCCTGTGTTGGCGTGGAGATCCCTTGCCCTTGCCCAGGGTGGGTGGGCATGCCTGTTTGAAGCCACGTGCCATAGGGTGGTGTGTTTGTGCCAGGGGGTGTGTGTGTGATGTCCCCTTCCTGTCCCCCTTCAGACAGGAGACCAGCGAGCTCCTCCGTCTGCTCCAGCACCAGCCAGCCCCAGGAACACTGCCCGGCCACCCGCTCCTCCTCCTTCAGCGAGGACAGGACCTCCCTGGAGCAGCCCAGCTCCCGCATCCCCTCACCCAAAGACCCTTTCTCTCCGGCCAGCGAGATGAGCTCCAGCACCACCAGCCAGAGCGAGGACACTTGGACGGGGAGCCAGGACGATGCGCAGAGCGACCCCAACGATGGGCCCGAGTACCTGGCCATCGGCAATTTGGGGCGCCGGGGCCGGGCCTGCAGCAGCGCCAGCACCAGCAGCAGCAAGAGCAGCAGCTCCAACCTCTTCTCCTCCAGCAGCTCCCAGAAGCTGGACTCGGTCTCCTCCATGGGGGAGCAGGGGGCGAGTGGAGGTGGGAGCTGGGGCCTGGGCCTGTTGCGCCGGTCCAGCTTCTCGGAGGGGCAGTCGTCAGCCCCGCAGGGCATCCTCAAGAAGAGCCACGTGCGCTCGCACTCTGACACCAACTGTGGCCTCGGGGAAATTGCACGGTAATGGGGCTGCTTTTCGGGGCACACGGGGTGGCTTTGGGGTGTGGGCACAGATATGGGACCACGGCCGGGTGGGAGTCACCAGTGTTGGGGTGCTGGCTGCCCCTTGGACTCCGTGTGTCAGCTGAGTGAGGGGAGCAGTGAGCAAGCAGTTTGGGAATTTGATTTTTTGCCTTTTCCTGCTCCACGGTGGAGCAATGGGCTGACGTCTTGTGGCCCAGAATGCCCAGGGCCAGTCTGGTTTTGGTAGTGGCCCTGGGTTCTCCTTGGATGGGCGAACGCATGGTGGGAGGAGCGGGGTGTGAAGGGACAGCCAGTCCGAGAGTCTGTCCCGCTGGTGCTGCCTTCGTGGGAGAAACACGGGTCCTTGCTCAGTAGTAACCAGTCTGTCTCTGTTTTCTCTCCCTTACTGCTGCCCTCTTCCTCCTCTGTCTGTCCAGGAGGCCTCAGGGATATCACCATTATAATAGAAGACCCAGTGGCAGGTTTGGGAGCCAGAATGAGCCCTTCATTAGTGATCATTGCATTACATTCAGGATTTCCATCAACCCATTAATGTCCATTTAGAAAAAAAAAAAAAAAAAATTCTGTGTTCCCTGACTGCCAGGTGGTGCTTTGAGGGGTGCCTCAGGTTTGTGCATGCGACCTGACTGAAGATCCCAGCTTGTTTTTTGGCAGCAGTACACCAGGCCATGGCTGGCACCCAGCTCCCCTGCATGGTGTTTGGAAGGGCCGTCCCTGACCCGCTTCCCCTGCCCTCTCCTCCACCCCCTACTGCTCTGGGAACCAGCGACTGAGGGCTGGTAGCTAGGAAGGTGTGGGTTTGAACACCGTATTTTTCGTGGGTGCTATTCAGCTCCAGGTGAGGTGTTTTTTGCCTTCCTGCAGTTCTCCAGTCAGCAGGTCAGCTGCTCTCTGGGGCTGTTGCTCTGCAGGGAGCACTGCTGGTTGTTTGTCCCCGATGAGGCCAGCTCCTGGCGGTCCCCACCAGCTCCGCCTGGCAGTGGGTGGCCCTGCAGTGCACGCACGGGCCGGTCACCTTGAGCACTCCTGACTTTGGGGTTGTCTGCAGGGAGCCCTGGCTTTTCCTAGCCGAGTGAGAGCGTGTCCTTCAGACGCCTCCTTCCACCTTTGCCCAGGTTGCCTTTCAGGGCCGCGAGCCCCACTGATCCCTTGGTTGCTCGGGGTCCCCTTGTCTCATGGCCCAGCCCTGTGGGGTAACTCTTGGAGATGCTCCAGGGGGAAGAAGGGGCTGGCAGAGGCACTTGCTGGAGGCTGTGGCGTTCTCTGGATCTGCTAGGGGATAAAGAGAGGAAGGCTCAGGACTCAACTGATCCATGGCTCTCACAAGCTTCTCTCCTTTCCCCTTCCTCCTCTCCTGCCTGGAATGCCCCTCTAGTTTTGTCCCCTCCTGGGCTTGGCCTCAGGCATGGCACAGAGCAGGCTAGCCGAGCAGAGGATTTCCCTTGTGGTTTTTTTCCCCATCCATTTGTGTCCACCCATGTGATGTTGAGCTCCTTCCATTTCACACCGAGATCTGGTCTGGGCTCCTCAGGGATCCTGATGTGTGACTGGTGTTGTCTTTCCCTGCAGAGTCCCACGGTGACACGGGCAGAGGCAGAGGGACAGTGTCTGGTTCCACCCAGAGCAGCGAGCTGAGCACACCCAGCTCCCTCTACATGGAGTACGGTGAGTACAGCGAGCCCGAGTCAGGATGTTTGCTCCTGGTCATGCACTGCAGGGCACTTTTGGCATGTGTGTGTACCACCCATGGGAGAGCCCCAGAGAAGCACGAGAGCATCTGGTGGCAGCCAGAAGAGCCAAGAGGCTTCAGGGCTCTCAGTGATCTGCTCCTTCATGTTTAGGGTGGGATGTTCAGGAGGGCTGGGCGATTTTAGGATGCCTGCTGTCACGTTTCGTCTTGTCATCTTAATGGCCCCATGTTGGTTGCTGCTATCCATTAGGACCAAGCAGAGATCCGATCTATCTGTAGGGTGGGACAGACCAGCTGCTGGCCACGTGGGCTTGCCAGTGTGTTGGTGCAGAGTGTGGGCTGTTACCCGGTGCTTTGAGCAGTGGGTCTCCAGGTCCTTCCCTCATATGTTTGTCTCTTGCTCTTCTAGACTCTGGCCAGTACCTGAGCTCGGGGGAAGGGATGTTCAGAAGACCCTCGGAAGGGCAGTCCCTCATCAGCTACCTCTCGGAGCAGGACTTCGGCAGCTGTGCGGACCTGGAGAAGGTGAGGGAGGCAGCAGCAGCCTGTGTGCTCAGGAGAAAGGATTTTGGTGCAGGTTCAGTGCTACTTCCCTCTGTGGCAAAGAGAATCCCGTAGTATTTCCTGCCGTAGAGCTGTGCACAGAACTTCCATGGTGAGTTGCACATCGTTGTCTGGCCACCAGGATCTGCCCGTCCAGCATACACACAGTAGCTCTGCAACATGCTGGGGCTCCTCAGGGACATGTGCTGACTCCCCAAGAGTGGATGTGTTGCACATCTCTTTGTAGGATTTCCCTTGTGTTTTGCAAGTATTCTGGTGCCCAAGAAGACTTTAATTTCTAGGTCATTACAGGACGGAAAGGTTTTATAGGGCCAGGAGGACATGAGGTCTTTCTGCCACCTTCCATAAACATTAAACTCTTTCCTTTCACAGGTAGGGAACCACATTTTACCAAGGCTTCCTAATTTGCCTGTGGTACAGCCTCGAATGCTTTTGCTTTTGCCTCACAGGAGAATGCCCACTTCAGCATCTCAGAGTCACTGATCGCTGCCATCGAGCTGATGAAGTGCAACATGATGAGCCGGCAGCTGGAGGAGGAGGAGGAAGACAGCGACAAGGAGATCCAGGAGCTTAAACAGAAGATTCGCATTAGGCGCCAGCAGATCCGTACCAAGCACCTGTTCCCTGCCTGCCAGGAGATGGGCTCAGACAGTGGGTGATGTTTTATGGGCTCATCAGCGGGTGGGATGTGGGTTTTCTGTCCGTTGCCTGTTCTTGCAGCATCCTGACTTTTTATGGGAAACAATCATGTTGCTAGTAGGGTGCTGCAGAGATTTGTGTAAGGAATGTGATTTCGTTTTGAGCCCATAGCCCATTTTCCATCCTTGATGTCTGTCGAGGATGCCACATCTGGCTATCGAGATCTCCCTTGGCTGTCAGTGACCCATGCAGACCGCTTCCACTGATGGCCTGGCCGTGTTGCCTTTTCTTTGCCTCCCAGGCCTTGTGGCGACAGACAGCGAGTCCCAGTTCAGCTCCCGCGGCTCCATGCGCCTGTCTGATTCTGGCTCTGCGGAGGATGTGGAAGAGTACGAGATACAAGGTGAGAGGGAACGGCTGCAGTCAGCTTCTCGCGTGGAGCCAGGCTTCTCCTGGGCGTGATTGCGTTGAGGTCGGTCACACCAAGAGGAGCATGTCCCTCTGGCCTTCAGGATGGCTTTTCCCAGACAAACGGCTGAATGCTGAGCATGAGTTTCCCTCATGTGGTGGCATGACTTTCTTTCAAAATCCTCTGTAATCCTTTCGCATTCAGAGCCTCTAGCTGGTACGTGGTTTCCGTTTCACTTGCCAGAGCAGCTGTCAGAGCTAGAGAGATGGGAGAGCTGCTGCCCAGGAGAAGGAGCCGTACTTTTGCCCACTTGTCTTTTGGGTGGGAGCAGCCAACTGCTGGTCACATCCTGGCCCTAGCTGTGGTCTCTGGCCCTGGCAGCTGGGACAGCTGAGCTTATTGCATGCAGGAGACCTGCCTGGGCTCCTGGGCATCCCCTTTGTTCAAAACCTTGTTCCACCTCTGGGGTAGGTGACTCATTTCTCAGCAGAACCTCCATCACGCTGACTTTAGAGGTGCGATGAGAGACGATGGAGCAATCCAGTCTCCAGCTGTGAACTTCTCAATCTTCACGTCTCTGCTGACAACAAAACATTTCAGTTCCCGAGGGCTAGATTTTGGGCTTAGTTTTGAAGTCCACGGAGGGGTGTGTGAGTTCAGTTCGGGGTTTCTCTCCTGCAAGTGCTGCTCTTGTGTTATGCCCTTTCCCTTTGGCCTGGCCAAAGCACTGAAGTGCACTGTTTTGTCATCACCGTGTTATACAGATGGTAACGATGGATCTAACCTGATTCAAATGTCCAAGAACGGCCTCTCAGTGTCAATGGCTTCCTTGTTCTCAGGTAGTACCCCGCAGTGCTCCCTTGCGGCACGCGTGCGTGTGTGTGCAAGGTGTGTGCGTGTGTGTGCCTCGCACGTGCACACTCCTCGGTGTGTCCCCTCGGGGTATTACAGGGAGTGCAGAGGCCTCAATCTCTGTACAGGCTCCCGAGGTGTTGAGTTCATGCTGCATCAGCAGGTCAGCTTCAGACCAGGCACAAAGATCACCAAAAAGAGGAGCTCTGCCACGGCACCGTCCCGCAGGGCGTTTTGCCTTGCAGTGGTTTGTATGCACAAAATGTGCCTGCTGTGGTGAACGCTCGTCTTGCCTGGGCCGTGGCTCAAGATGAAGGCACAGGCACAGCTTTGTAGCTGCTGGGCTGGGTGAGAGCACAGCCCCCTACGCTGTGGGACCAGGTCTCCATCCCAGAAATCCTGTCCCTCTCCAGCGTTACGGCTTGGGATGGAGCTGCCCTGCAGCTCCCTGTCTGCTGCAGGTGAGACAGGGAGGGAGCCAGGAAGGAAGAAACCTTGCTCTCAAAATGACCCTGCTGTCAGCTTGTGGCCAGGAGGCAGAGCTAGGACAGGACCAAAGCACTCTGAAGCTGTTGGTGCCTTGGGGGAGAGTTATCCTGCTTGACTCTGCAGAGCTGGCATGCTGTAACTCCAATTCAATCCGTGGCCAACCCTTCCCTTCCTGCCCAGACTTGACACAGGGAAGAATCCTTCTACAAAGAAGGGAAAAGTAGTGAGAGCAGTCAGGGCACAGGCGTTTTATTCACATTGGAGGCCCCGAACACTGGGATCACGTGCAGCCAGCTCTTGCTTACCTGCTGCTGCTCTCTGCTCTCAGGCGTTTGGCACCAGCACTGCCAGAGGTGCTGATGCTCAGAGTTTACAGCGCCCGTGGGTGTAGTGCAGGGTGGCTCCTCCTGGCCTGAAGCTGGCACCTGGGGGCTCCGGTGACTTCCCTGGGTTTGGGTGCTGTTCTCCAGCATCCTGGGGACTGTCCCACGAGGAGAAAGCGTTGGCAGCAGAGGCGTTTGGGGCAAGTAACTGGAGGTCTCTGGGGAGTGCCTGCAGTTAGGGCCGGGGAAGGAGTGGTGCCAGGATCCCAGCTCTATCCCCTGAGGGAGCCTAGGGCCAAATCTGGCTCTCTCTGCCATCCCTGAGGTGATGCCAGTGCCTGAACTGGGCTCTGCCCAAGATCTCCCTGTAATGCTTGGCCCTAAGCTGTGTGTGCCCCACTGTTTGCTTGAGCTTGTCGTAGCCTAGGACCATGCAAAGCCTTCCTGCGCTGAGCCGAAGGAACCAGAGCATGGTAGATCCGTCTGTCCGGTGTTGTACGTGGGCAGGAGGCTACGTTTGCCTGAATTCCCTCTTTTCTGCTCTAGAAGTCTGCTCGCATGGTGTGGATACGTGGGTTCCTTAGCATTAGGATGCTTTCACGTTGGTTTCTAGCGATGGATGTGGAACACGGAGTGCTGCCTGTCCAAGCTGACCTCTGCTAGCCCAAATCTGTAAATTTAGTGGAAGGGCCGTGAAGGCTTGCTGTGGCCTCTTTGCACGTCTTTCCTCTTCTGAAGCCAGGATCACTCGAAGGCAGGGTCCTTGGCTCCTGCCCTAATCCTTTGGGAATCCTCGCTCCCCGTCCTGGCAGGGCAGCCCCACTCTTTGTAGGGGAGCTGACAGCTGGTGGTGCTGGCTGTCCCACTGCAGGGTGAGCGTGGCCAGGAGCAGACAAGCTCAGCGTGGGTCCGTGTCTCTGACCTGCTCGGGGAGCAAGAGCAGAGCGACCTTCTGCCATCCAGATGAATTCTGCATCAGGGTTTAGCAGAGAAACCTGCAGGAGTGAAAGGAAGAGATGAGTGAGGAAGGTAGCTCTCGGGTACCGCTGTGGTACCCAGACTGGCACCGAGGAGGGACGTGGGGCAGCCCAGGGCTGCTGGGGAGCTGCTGGAGGGAGCTGGACCTGCTCTCTGCACAGATGCTGCCCTGTCTGTGGAGGCAGGGCTGCCATCCCCCGTGGTGCAGCAGCTGACGAGCTGTGTCGTGGCCACAGCCTTACCTTACAGGTTGTGGTTAAGTAGAGAGGAGGGTTCTGCATCCCACTGCTAACGCCCTGCAGCACCTGTACTGCTTAGAGAGCTACTAAACCTTCTAGCTAACCCCGCTGTCCTGCCCTCCTAGCTCCAGCTGTGTGTGCACAACGTTTCAGGCCACGTAACCGCTAGGACTTGGTGTGTGACTTGCACCAGCAACCGCTTGTCACCCCCCAAATCCCCGGCCAACTGTGTTTTTGCATCGTCCCACCACGTCCTGGCCTTGTAATGCCACCAGGTGAGGGATTAGACTGCACCTCTCCTTGCTGCTCCGTGTTACCGGTAGCAGTTGATGCTGTAGTTTATGTGCTTTTAAACAGCTTGATGAGTTTTAACGTGTAGCTTTGGTTTGGAGTGAGTGCAGCCTCCAGCCCTGCCCGGTCTGCTTCACCGCGTTTGTTTGTGCTTCAGATGCAGACATCAAGAGGAATCCAGACTCCAGCAGGAAATCCTTTCTCTCCTCCGAGTCCATGTACGTGTTCGAGTTGCGGTGAGACGTCTCGGTACCCAATTCCCCTTCCCATCCAGCTCTGCTCTTCCAAGTGCATCAGCTGCTGTTTTGCGCTGGAGCAGACGCCTTCTCCCTCCCTCCTCCCTGTATTTACTTAGCAGTGGGGCACAGCTGGGTCCTAGTCTTGAATTTGAGAAGCAGCCCCTAGGATGATGAGGGTCGTTCACATGCTTTGTGGGCACGAGGTGGATACCTCGTGTATTGGTGTCTGCAGGGATCCCCATTACCTGCTGGTAGCAGGAGGCTGGGGAGAGGACCTGGAGCATCCAGACTGGCCAGGACAGCCTGTTAAGACTACATGGTGCTGCCCATTTCACATCAAGACTCTCTTTGGTGTGCCATTAGCCAGCTTTGCTTGGGGGCAGCTGCAAAGACACAAATAAATCACATCTATCAACTTCAAGCCTGTGTAGCAGTGCAGAAATAAGGTACCAGCAGTTTGAGGGAACATTTTCAGCTTGAGTTGAGGATAGGATCAGAGGATGGGGGTATGTGAAGAGGGCACAGCTCCGAGATCCCTGGCATTAACTCCCTTTTGTTGAGCAGATCCCACTCCTTCAGCAATTCGAACTCGGCAGAAGCCGTCGCCATGGGCTTGCTGAAGCAGTTTGAGGGCATGCAGCTGCCGGCTGCCTCCGAACTGGAATGGCTTGTCCCCGAGCACGACGCTCCGCAGAAGGTAAGGGTGTGAGTGTGTGCAGGAAGGTACCAGAACGGCCAGGGTGGCTCCACCAAGGCACATGGGGATGCCAGGACAGGAGCAAGGAAGCACCTAAGCACAGTGATTGGGGAAGCATACAAGCAAAGCTCCTGCTGCTCTCTGGAAATCCCAAGTCGCTGATTATTTGATCACTTCTCCGTGAACCCCTGGCTTTGTGCCCACTGCCTCCGGCCTTTGCTAGCTCTCACAATCCTTTGTGAGGAGGGAAGGATGGGTTTTGTCCAGGCTGTGCTGCTTGCCGTGCAGTGCCTTGCCTAGCAGCCAGGAGGAGAGAGGAAGCAATGTGGGACCCGCAGCAGCTTACGGGTGGGAGCTGTGTGGGGTAGGGGCTCTGCCTGCATGGCTGCTACGCTGAGCACCTTGATAGCTTATTTGCTGTTGGTTTTCAGGGCCTGAGACGATCTCTAAAAAAGTTCTTTAGGCGTCCTGGCTGGTATAAGAAAAGGCAGCTTTCCAAAAAGCTCCTGCTGGTACGTTGGGAGTGGACAGTGTGCCCGGAGGGAGCATGCGTGGGCCGTAGCGTGCACTAATTGCTCAACCCAGCAGTGCCCAGCTGGGTAACACCTTCCACATCTTCCCCTCTGGCGTGGAGGGAGGACTGAGTGTAGACAGCACCTTATACCAGTTCCCCTCCTCCTCTGAGAGTGGCTCTGGAAGCAAGAGGGAGGTTTGCCAGAGCTGGTGCAAGCCTCCAGGGCAGCTGCTGGAGGCACCAGAGAGAAGAGCTGAGAGCTGAAGATCTCCTGAAGGAGCAGGAGGCACCTCCAGCAGTGCTGTTGAAGTGGCTTCTTCTCTGCCACCTGCAGCATGTTCCCATGGGGTGTTTTGTGGCCACGTCCTCCTGGGCAGCTGTGCCTCAGCCTTTTCCTACTAATGTCTGCAGAGAATAACACTGGCACCTCACCTGTCTTGTGCTCAGCCCTCCTCCGTGTGGTTTGCTCCCAGAGGCTGCTGTGTCTGGTCTCCCCAAAATGCAGGTTGCTCTTCAGTGTGTGCTGTCCTGGGGATCTAAGGGACTTGGGCTCATTGCTGCTCTAGTTCAGCATCTTGTGCCCTGCACCAGCTCTCTGCCAGGCTCTTCTGCTTGCCCATGAGCTGTGCCCCGAAGGGCTGAAGGATCACACCCCGGTGAGCTGGGAGATGTGCTCTGCTTGGGAAGCACGAGAAGCCTTGTCCAGTTCCCTGGGCTGCTTAGAGATCTGGAAAGAGTGAAAGTGTGTGGAAAAAAAAAGGAAAAGAACCCACGTGGAAATGGCAGTAGCAGAGTGCTCAGATTCCTGAGGATCCCTTCTCCAGCCCCTCTGTTCAGCAGGAGCAGCAGGGCTGGGCACTGGGTGCCAGGCAGTTTTCCAAAGGGCTGCAGCTTGTAGGTTGCAAGCCAGCAAGCCAGCCAAGTGTGTTGCCTTGTTTGGTCCCAGGCAGGGATCTGACCCTCTTGCTTGCCTCTCCCAGCTCCTGCCCATCCCTGACTCCCTGCCCATCTCCCCCGATGATGGAGAGCACGCTGACATCTACAAGCTGAGGATTCGGGTGCGCGGAAACCTGGAGTGGGCGCCCCCACGACCGCAGATCATCTTCAACGTTCACCCAGCCCCAACGTAAGCACCCGTGTGGCATTGGGCTCTCCGGTACCTGTCCTTTTCCACACTTAGGTGGCAACAAATATGAATGTCCCTGCCCCGGAGAGCTGTGACAGTGCCTCCTCTGGTGCCAGCAGGGCTGGATTCATGCATGTTGTCTTTTGTCTCTGGCAGGAGGAAGGTGGCTGTGGCCAAGCAGAATTACCGCTGCGCGGGCTGTGGCATCCGAACTGATCCTGGTGAGTGCTGGGGCCCTGACCCATAGCTGGAAAGCAGGGAGTAGCCTGTGAACGAGTGGGAAGGAGGAGACAGAGTGGGTGGGTTGTGGCAGAGCTCAGCGTGAGGTCAGTGGGAAAATCATACTCTTCCTCATTTCTCAGGGTCTACAAGTTCGGGTCACGGTTTTCTTGTGTCTTCCTAAAGCCCCCAGCAGGTTCTGCTGCGGGTCCAGCCGCTGAGCTCTTTGCTTAGCAGTCCTTCCTGAGTGCCTAGGCTGCATGGGACTGATGGGCAGAGGGCGGTCCCAAATTTTTCTGAAGTCTGTAGGGAACTTGCAGACTCCAGTGTTGAGCAGCTGGGGGCTGAAGGAGGTGGCAGCAGGCAGAACACCCTGCTTGGTGGGAACGTTGAGCAGCGTTGGGAGTCTGATACGTGGCTGGGCAGAGCCTGCACATCATCCCACCTCCCTGTCTCCCTGGGCTGGGCCAGATTACATCAAGCGGATGCGGTACTGCGAGTACCTGGGGAAGTATTTCTGCCAGTGCTGCCACGAGAACGCCCAGACGGTCATCCCCAGCCGCATCCTGCGCAAGTGGGACTTCAGCAAGTACTACGTGAGCAACTTCTCCAAGGACCTGCTGAGCAAGATCTGGAGCGACCCACTCTTCAACGTGCAGGATATCAATCCTGCCCTGTACAGGAAAGTGAAGTCTCTCAACCAAGTGTGGGTAAGACCCTTCCCGTGCCTCTCTGCGTGGGGTTAGGGTGGGGTGGGTGGCTGCCAGTTGTAAAAACGTGCTGGAGCAGCTGGGGAGAAGCGGATATTTCAGGTTTTGAAGCTTAAAACCTCAGCGCTGTGGGTTTCCGTTCGTATCTTGTTTCCTGTAGAGGGGGAAGGAATTTCTGCGTGGTGTTCAGCTGGGCCTTGGTGCTTTATTTCCTGGAGCACGCGCTGACTGGGCTGTGCTCGCTTTATCCAGCACAGTGTAAATGTCTCAGTACCTGGGAAACTGCGGCTGAGGAGCAGCAGGCATTGCACCAGTGCAGGAAACGGGGCAGACGTGTTTAGCTAAGGACTGTGATCTGTTTACTGATTCTTGTGTCCCGCCTTCCTCTCCAGATGCTGCGAATCCAGCTCTTCCACATGAAGAACATGTTTAAGACCTGCCGCCTAGCTAAAGAGTGAGTCCTGGGATGTGAGGCTAAGCTGTTTGCTGTCCTGTGTCTGTCCCATGGCAATTTTTAATGCGGGTCTGTGCAGACTGAGGATGAACGGAGGCTTGCAAAGTCTGTCCTGATATCTCTGTAATCTCTGAGCTTGTTCCTGTCTCTTACCTCTGGCACTGTTGAAGCCTTGAGGAGCTCAGTGGGGGCTTTGGGAGACGGTGAAGTCCAGTGGATTGTGGTGTGCGCCAGGTCCTACTGCATCAACCGCAGCGATTGGGGTTGATTCGGGGTCTTGTTGGCATCCTCTGCTTCCTAAAAGCCTCCTAGTCCAGGCATGGAAGGTGTCTGCTGAGGGCTCCTTCCAAGATCCCACCACAAATGACAGGGTGACTTGGTGAAGCGCTGAGTGGAGGGAGAGAGAAAGCAGAAGCAGTGCAGAGAGAGGACTTTGTGCAATCCCTCTGCTCTAAGCTCTATTTTTTCTGTCCCTGCAGCCTCCTAGACTCCTTTGATGCAGTGCCCGGCCACTTGACCGAGGATTTGCACCTCTACTCCCTGAGCGACCTCAGCGCCACGAAGAGGGGGGACCTGGTGCCTCGCCTGACAGAACTGCTGAAGGCAGGCAGCCTGCACGTTGAGAAATGCATGGTAAGGCTTCACCCACCTCCTGTGCAGCTCTGCAGCCTTTGCAGCACCCATTGCTGCATAAATAGCCAGCGGGGAGGCCTTTGACATGCAGAGCAACCATAGAATTAATTGGTTAAATGCTAGCTGCTCCTGCCTGTTACACAGAGCTGCTACCCAGCAGGTGTGGGATGTTTCTTACCCCAATTTGGCTTTCTCTTCGCTAACATATGTTGATTCTGCTTTTCTGTGCTGGGGATGGACTGTCACACATGGCTAGAGCAGGACGCTGTGTCCTACTGTTCTTTTCCTCTCTACCTCCTGTCCTGGCTTGCCAGGGAGATGAGGAGCATTTAGCCACTTTTCCCTCACCTTTTCTTCCAGTTGTGCCAAGCTAAAGGCTTCATCTGCGAGTTCTGCCAGAACGAAGACGACATCATCTTCCCCTTTGAGCTCCACAAGTGCAGGACGTGTGAAGGTGAGGTACTGGGGAGAAGCAGGGAGGGGATTGCAGCGTCTTCCTGGACAAGCCTGGAGGGCGTGGAGAGCCAGCCAGCCTGGGTCAGCCTCCGCCAGCCCGCAGCTCTCAGCTGCCCTTCCTCTCTCCCTGCAGAGTGCAAAGCCTGCTACCACAAGTCCTGCTTCAAGTCCACCCACTGTCCCCGCTGCGAGCGGCTCCAAGCCCGGCGGGAGCTGCTGGCCAAGCAGAGCATGGAGTCCTACGTCTCGGACTACGAAGACGAGTTGGAGCAGCAGGAGGCAGCAGCAACCACATGAGCGTGTGGCAGCAGGGGAGCAGGTAGCGGGTTTATTTATACCTGTGGCCTTCATCACCAGAGACTGAGCCAAGCGGACTTGTGATGAGGAGCAGCGCTGGGACACTTGTCATGCTGGGTGCTTGGAGCACTGGCTTGACGGGAGCTGTTTTCCCCTGGGCAGCAGTGCTGGGGAATGAACATTTTCCATCCTCGGAGTCTGCTCCAGGTACCAGTCACCTCCCTGCCGCCTTGGCTTGGGGAAAGGCAGCCACCCCTGTCTGTCCTGCAGGCTGAACACGGACCTTTACCAGGCAGTGGCTCATGTGCTGGGCTGCAGCCTTGCCCTTTGGGAGCCGCTGGGCCAGGCAGGGCTGCAAGGCCAGTCCCCATCCCCTCCTGCCTGGGAGGCTCCCCAGTGGGGTCAGCACTTTCTGCTCAGCGGCTGGACACTGGAAGCCCTGGCCATGTTCCCCTCCTGGGAGGCAGGAATTGTCTCCAAGTCTTCCCCGGCTTGTCTTGCTGCTGCTGTGTGTTTGTGGAGGGAGGCTGGGGGGCTGAACAGCGCGTTTAGCAGCTCCCTTTTTCACATCTGGACTGGAACTACTGCCAGAGACACATTTCTCTTCCTCCAGGATCAGAACAGAGGAGGTAAAAATGGTAAAAATGTGGTGTGTCTGCCCCCCTTGCCCCCACAGAGGCAGCACCCAGGGGGCAGCCACCCCAGGGGACCCGCTTTGCTGCTGGGCATCGCAGAGATCTTGTGGCAAGAGTGCAGCAAGTGAGGCTTCAAACCTCACTTCTCCCTCATGCTGCTCATCTGTTCCTGGGGATTTCTCCTCGTTTAGGTCTGACATGGGACCTCACCCTGGCAGTGTCACCCTGGGATGCGCGTGAAGGCTCGTAGCTCAGCCCTCTGGGTGCCTCCCCCCAGCCTCTGTCACACTTTGTTCTTTTAGGTTGGGCTTTTTTTTTTTTTTAACTGGCTGGATTTGGTTTTATTTTTTTAACGCAGTTGTTTGTATTTTTAACCGTTTGCTCCCCACCTCCCAAGAAGGTGCTGCTGGAGATGTTCCTACGTGAGGGGCTATAAAACCTCCAGAGCTTTCCTGCTCCTGGTCCCTCACCCCTGACCGGGGCTGGCAGCTGCCAGGTGCCCCTCTCCCATCGGACCTGCTCCCTTTGGGAGAGGGGTCACCGAGCCAGGCAGAGCCTCAGGGGAGAAGCTGGACAGGTTGCTCCCACGGGGGTGCACTTTTGGGGAGAGGGATTGGCACTGGGGGTGCTGCAAGGTGCCGCTGCATCCAGGGGATGCTTTGTCCCACGGTACGGGCAGTGTCCAGCACCAAGGTAGCCCTGGGGGCTGGAGCCCACCCAGCCTGGCAGGCAGGTGGGGGGAAGGATGAAGGGTGCTGAGGGACAGGGGACACCAATTTTCAGCCTGGCACGTCACCTCTCTGATGGCAGGGTCAGAGGCTACTTACCAGCTCTAGCATTCCTGGCCTGGGACAGGTAGATCCCCACCTTCTCCCTCGGGTTTTTGCCTCCTCCTGTCTTTATCCTCGTTTTCCCAGGACAGCAGCTGCTCTCCTGCTTGCTCCACAGCTGGCAGGAGCTCTACAAGCCTTGAAGTTGCCAGCCTTGCAAGCAGAGAGCATTGCCACGGTCCTTGCCTCTTGTCCCCATGCTGCCACCTGGCTCGGCAGGTCCGGAGCTGGTCCCCCCCCTCCTAGGAGCTGGCTCAGAGCAGCACACCTTCACCCACACCCTTTTGTTTGAAGCACTTTAACGTCGCGGGCCGCTGGCCGAGCTGAGCCCACGTCCAGTTCTAGAAGCACTGAGAACCTTTAGAGACGAGCGAATGGATTTTGGTTTATTTGTGTTTTTCCCCCAATCCCTCTGGATGTGATGGGAACCCGAAACCCGGCGGAGGTCTCTGGGCAAGGTGACGCACAACACTAACACTGCTGCCACGGCTGGAGGGACAGCCAGGGGCTGCCCTGGCACTTAACCGGAGCCCTCCCCACGGGACTATTGCACAGCAGAGCAGTGAAACGCCGTCCCTAATAAACTAAGTTAAACTCAATGTGGTTTCAACTAAATGTGGTTGTGTTCTGAGCTCTACTGAGGCCCCTGCCCGCAGCAGGGCTCGTGCATTGACCCACAAACACCGGGGATACAAACTGTAAACCTCACACCAAAAGGCCAGGGGGGAACTGTTTGAGGGTGCTTGGGAAGCCCAGCACCGCGCTGGCTCCGCACCGAGGAGCTCTGCAGGAAGCATGGCATCAGGAGCCTGGTTCTTGGGATTTTTCCCCAGAAAAAGGAAAAACTAAGCTGTAGGTATAAGCTGCACAGACTGGCTTACCCTGGGCACAGTGGTTGTAGGAAAGCTTTCTGGCTGAGGATTGCACCTTGCTGCCTGCATCAAGCCCTGCACAGCTGCCTCATTGCGGGTAACAGCAGAAACCTGCAAAACCCCGGGGCTTGCTGCCGCTAGGAGCCCTCCAGCAGCACTATCATGGGTTAGGTGTGAGCCAGCACCACGACAAAGGCACGTCCACCCCGAGCAGGGAGGAGCACGACCCATCTCACCCCTTGCACCCCGGGCACCGCCGTGCCGGTCACTGGGCGAGCTCTCGGGGGCCGTAGCGGCGCTCGAACTGGTCCACATCAAATTTGCGCTTGCAGCCGGAGTAGTTCATGTAGCGGATCTTCCCGAAGACGTCCCGCTCCTTCCAGCCCTGGTCGTGTATGCCGCAGATGGACCAGAGGCAGCCTGGTGGACACGGAGGTGGGCATCAGCTCTGCCCCGTGCCAGCGGGGTGCCAAGGACGATGGAGAGGCTGAGAGCCCTGTCCCCATCCCCATGCTGTGGCCATCAAAAAGGAGGGGACCCCCACCCCATAACCCATCCCACAACGTGCCTACGTAGCCGTTGGGGTCTCTCCCGTCCAGCTCGTAGCGGTCGTTGAGGTAGATGGCAAATTGCAGGGCCTCCTCGGGGGAGCGGGTCCACTCCAGGATCTTCTTGGCCCAGTACATCCGCAGGAAGCCGTGCATCTTGCCCTCCCGAACCATCTGCAGCTGTGGGGAAAGGGACAGACACAGGGCTCAGCTCGTGTCCCAGCCCTTCCCAGACCCCATTCACCTCACAGCACAGCCGCAGCCCCCTTGGTGTGGCTGGGGGTCCCAGGGGAGGCAGTGGGGCCCCTTTGGGGTCCCCAACCTGGGCAGCGTTCCAGAGCGGGTCGTGCGTGGTGGCCTGCTCCAGCTGCTGCAGCTCGTAGAGAAAAGGCCTCTTGTCCTTGGCATGGAGCCTCAGGGTGGTCTGCGCCCAGTCGTAGGCACCTGGGGGAGATGAAGGACACCACTGAGCGCCCTGCTCCATGGGAAAGGGGGGAACCAAGCTTTGGAGACCCCAGCCCTGCAGCGGGAAGGCCCCTTCTTTAGGGAAAACAGGGGCTTGCCAGGTTGGGGTGAGCACAGTTTGGACCCCCAGGGTTGCCCACCCACCCCGGGGCGCTACCTTGCAGGCTGTCGTAGTTCTCGTTGTAGTAGCAGAAGTTATCAGCCAGCTCCCTCCGCACCACGGCCTCCTCCACGAACGCCTCCACCGACTCCTTGTGGGCACGCCGGTGTTTCTGCACCTCCAGGATGGCTCGCTGGGTGGACACCTGGCCTGGGGACAGGGGACAGGGACAGGGGGAAGGTGTGGGGTCCCGGTCACCCATCAGGTCACCCGGCTGCGATGCTGAGCGTGGCGGGACGGCCGCGGTGCGCTCACCGAAGTGGAACCAGGGAGAGAGGTTGCTGAGAGCCGCCTTGTTGGGGTCGTTTCTCTGGGTGCTGAAGGATTTCAGCCGCTCGGCGATGAAGGACTGCAGCACCGCCAGCCCCGCCGAGGTGCCGGGGGTCGCCCACTCCACCTCCGCCACCGAGCGGTCCACCTGCAGGCTGGAGTAGCAGGCGTCCCACGCGATGGGCTGCGAGCAACCAAGCGGTGTGAGGCTGTTTGCTGTGCTAGAGCTGAGACCCAGCAGCAGATCCTCTCCAGGCAGGGCTGCCCTGAGCCTTATTTACGCCCCCAATGTGCCCAATTAGGGCTGTCCCCAACCTGCAAGCCCCCAGCTCATGCCAGCTACAAACCAGCCCTGCGTGGCTGAGATTTGCTCAATATCTGGAAGAATGGGGTGGGAATCTCCCTTCCCCAGGGTCTCCCCATCTCCCACTGCCTGTGGCCAGGTCATTGTCCCTGCTCCCAGGATCACAAAGCAGCTGTGAAGCTATCCGGGGCTGGGTGAGGAGGGTTAGCTCCTGGTACCTCTGCGGGGCAGGACGGGGGATGCGGGTGCCGAACGACGGGAGGGAACTCGGTGAGGAACTCCGGGAGCTGGCTGTGGATCTTGCCCCGGATGGTCCTGGCGCTGTACTCCTGCTTGGGGGAGGTGACCCAGCAGGGCACGATGTTGTGGGCATCCACCTGGGAAGCAAAGCCGCGGAGGAGGAGCCGTAAGCAAATGAGAAGCAAATGGCCCTGATGGCACGACCCACACCCAGGAAAACATCCTCACCCCTCCCTGCTCAGGCCACTCCAGTGATCCCAAACACGAGACCCTTTGTTTCTTCCCTATCTCACCAGCCTGGGTTTCCCACACCCTCGTAGATCACCTGCACGAAGGGCACGTCCTCGGGCAACCTCTCCCTGACGTCCTCCACCCACTGCCTGGGGACACGCAGGGGACAGAAATCCGTCACCAGCCCCCCCACGCCTTGCTGCACCACGAAGGGGGGCAGCACGTCCTTGGCGTAGCCCAGCAGCAAGTGGAAGGGGATGTTCAGCTCCGTGCACTCCTGCAACGAGACGAAGAGGGCTGAGGGACGGTCCTGGTGGCTCCGTGTCCCTCCAGGACCCCCCAACCCGCCTGTCCCCTCGGTGGCCGTACCTTGCTGACCTCCTGCAGCCCCCGCAGCATGAAGCCGTAGTGGCGGATGGTGGCACCCAGGAATTTGGGCACCAGGCAGAAGCAGACGCGCAGAGGCAGCTCCTGTTTGAGGGCCAGGCGCTGGGCGTAGAGGAAAGCCCAATTATCTGGGGGGGGGGAATAAAGCACAGGGGCTGTGCCGGGGATGCGCTGCGAGGGGAAGGAGCCGGGGGCTGCGCATGGGGACGCATGGGGAGCCCCCCCCAGCGCCCCCCAGCTCTAGGGAAAGGTGGAGGCGGGGGGGGGGTGGCATCCTTACCTTGCACCCTCTGGTCCCGGGACATCCAGTAGAGGATGCATTTGGCGTCCTCCAGCAGCTCGGGGCCCCGGGAGACGAGCCGGACCCGCTTCTTGTTGTACCTGAACTCCCGCACCGAGGGGGCGGCCGCCCGCCGGGCCGCCCGCAGCGCTGCCTCCAGCCCCCCCCCGGCCTCTTCTTCCTCTTCCTCCTCTCTCCTCTTCCTTCTCCCTCCTCTTCGCAGCCTCCCCACCCCCGGAGATTTTCCTCTTCCCGCTGCCCCTCGGCATCCTCAGCCCGGTGCAGCCCCACCGGGGACCCCCGGAGCCTCCCCCACGTGGCGCCGGGCGTTATACAACAGGGGGGGGGGGGGCAAATAAAAAAGGGGGCAGGGCTTCAGGATAAGGGGCGGGGCCTCCTGGCCGTGCACCACCCATGGGTTGCTGTCCCTGCCCCTAAACCCAACCCGGTCCCCCCCATGGGGTCCCCGCTGGCACCGACCCTCCCCATGCCCAGCACGGCCCCAGGGGTGCTGGGGGGTGGCCCCGGGGTGCTGGGGGTCCCGCTGCCCCCCCGTGGGTGCCTGCTGGGCACCGCACCCATCCTAGGGAGTGGCCCCTGGAGGGTGGAAACCCCCTTCCCTGCCACCACCTGGGGAATAAAAGCGCTCACCTGGGTGCTCTGCCTCTGTCCGGCAAAGGGAGCGCGCACAGCGCAGCGCCAAGGCTGCGGGGAGGGCTCAGAGGTGGCCTTTTTGGGGAGGGGGCATCGCTCCCACCCTCCTGGACATGGCCGGGCACAGAGGAGGGCTGATCCTGCCCCTGCTGCTGCTGCTGAGCCTCGCCGTGCCCGAGCTGGTGCTGGGTAAGGGATGAGAGGGATGCACGGGGAGCTGGGTGGCCCCGGGGTGGCTTCGTCTCCACATCAGGTTTTATTTCGATGGCATCTCACACGCTTCTCCGGCAGGCAGAGGAGCTCTGGGGTTGCACCTTGCTGCCTGGGTCCCCACGTTGGGTGTCACCTTCCCTGCTGGCAGGGGTGCTGGGCTGTTGTAGGACCAGGAAACTGCAAGCGTTCGCCCTCGGCACAACGCAGAAGTGATGTCCAGGGAGGAAATTCAGGGCTTGCGGCCTTACGGCCTCCTACAAGCCCTGGGGAACAGCCCCTGACCCCATCCCTCAACCCCAGAAGGGCTTACGTGGGTTGCAGCACGTCTGCCACACAAGCAGGGATTTGCTCCCCTCTCCCTCCCTTCCTATGGGTCTGGCTTCCCCCTGCTGCCACTATTTATGCATCGCGTTATCGGTTCCTGAAGATCTGCAGCAGAGAGGTTTGTGTAAACTGCCCGGGAGATTCCAGCCTGAGCGTGGTAACCGGTTCCTGCTCAGCTCTTCCCGTCAGACGGGTTTGTTTGACTTCCCCCCCGAAAGGATGGAGAGGGTGGCACGGGGCTTATCGCTGGTGCCAGGAGGTGTTTCTGCCCAGAGGGTGGCCGTGCCCGCAGCTGGTTCCTTGTTTGTTATGCTGGGGCATTTATTGTTCTTCCACCCCGATGAGCTCAGGAGGAACCCGTGTTGGGTCCCTGCAGGATGGCAGAGCCCCGCTGCTGACCCCATAACCTAGGGTGCCTCCAGGAACTGGTGGTGGTGGTGCCGAGCCATCCCCAGCTCCATCACGGTGACACCTTGCTGCCCCACCTCATTGCAGGGACCACAGCCACAAAGGCTTCAGTGACCTCAGCTCCCTCCACCTCCCTGACACCCGTGGAGACCCCGACGCTGCTGCCCACCACCGACACAGCCTCGGTGCCTCCCTCCAGCCCAGAAACGGGAGCCTCCACCCCAGAGACACCCAGCGTGCCGACGGCTGCCTCCACGAGCAGCACCCTGGCAGCCCCCAGCAGCCCCCCGTTGGAGGTGAGTGGCAGCGTGGGCTCTCCTGCCAGCACCACGCTGCACCCCAATGCCACCAGCACCGCTGCACCACCATCCCCCAAGCCCAACCTCTGCAGCCACGCCACCCACCCAGCCTGAGGTGACAAGCAGGCACATCACTGGGGACCAGCGTGTCCCCAGCTCCGAGCACCAGCTCGGCAGGAGCTGCACCAAGCACGCCCCCCACCCTCCCCTCCACCTTCTCTCCCCTCCACCTCGGTGGTCACCACGAGCATCAGCAAAGGACCAGCGGCTGACCACAGCGCTCAGCACCACACCCCCGGGGAGCAGCAGTCCCTGATCCCATCACACCAACCGAGCCCTCCACAACCCCGCCGGACCCCACAACACCTCCAGACCCCACAACGCCTCTGGACACCGCAACCCCCTCCCACCCCAGCACCGGGGACCCTGGGAGCAATTCAACCCCCAGCCAGCCCCCAGGGACCACCAACGGGACCGCAGGGACACCCCCGGACACCCCCCAGAGCCCCGCTGCCAGCACCGCAGGTGAGTGCAGGGGGAGGGCAGCGCCCCCAGGGCCGGCAGCGCCTCGCCGCGGGCTTTATATAGGGCGGGAGGTGGGCGTGGCCAGGAGTGGGCGTGGCCAAGGGAGTGGGCGTGGCTTTAGGGCGTGGTGTGAATGGGCGGGCGAAAAGGGGGCGTGGCCAGCGGTAGGGCGGTGCCGGGGATGAATGGGCGGGCGGCAGTGGGCGTGGCCACAAATGGGCGTGGCTACAAGTGGGCGTGGTCTCGTAGTGGGCGTGGCCTCGTGGTGGCGCGCTCCCCGTGGCGCCCCGTGGGCTGCGCCCCGTCCCCTGGGCGCCCCCCGTGCTCCCCGCCCCGGCACCCTTGGGTGCCTTCGTCCCGGCCTCTTGCGAGGCCGTGCCCGGTGCCTGCCGGCGCCTCCGTGCGGGCTCGATCGTGAGCCCGGCCAGAAGGAAGCGGCCCCGCGCCGCCGTGACACGCTCTGGGGAAGTGATGCCTGCGCAGACGGCCCGGGAGAGAAGTCCTTGGGCTGGAGCACGCCCTTCCTGAGCGCCGCCTGCTCTCCCGGCCGCTTGTTCGGCCGCAGGCAGAGCGGGCTGTTGGCTCCCGGGGGCTGCGGTGCTGCTGGCACCGAGCATCACCCCTGTCTCGGGGCGTAGGGACGGCCCTAGGCAGCCCAGCTGCCTCCCCTGAGCTTTTTCCTATCGGAGCCGTCCCTCACCAGGCAGAGGATCTCTGCCCCGGGGGCTGGTGGAGGTCTGCTGGGCATCGCACCCATCCCTGGGAGCACCCCCTTCCCTGCCAGCACCCAAGGAATAAAAGCACCCACCTGGGTGCTCTGCCTCTAGCCGGCAAAAGGAGCGCAGCCACCGCAGTGCCAGGGCTGCGGGGAGCACCCGGGGCTGGGCCTGCCGGGGGGCATCAGCTCCTGCCCGCCTGGACATGGCCGGGCACAGAGGAGGGCTGCCCCTGCCCCTGCTGCTGCTGCTGAGCCTCGCCGTGCCCGAGCTGGCGCTGGGTAAGGGACGAGAGGGATGCATGGGGAGCATCGCTGCCAGGGCGCTGGGTGGCCCCGGGGTGGCTTTACCCACAGTGGGGGGCAGGGGAGGGGACACGCTGTGGGTGCTACTTGCTGAGCAGGAGAAAGGGGCTTTGCTTGATTTCTGCTGCCTTGCACAGCGAATTCCCTCTGCTTCTTCCTGGGGGCTGCTTGGGGCTGCAGCTCCTTGCTCTCACCTCTCCGGGGTGGATGGGATGCAGAGGTGGGCTCCCACCTCCTCCTTTGTGCGAGGATGGGGCCCTCCGGAGCAGCCGTCCATCTGGGCAGGGGCTGCGAGCAGACCTTTGCCCTTCATAGTATTATTATTTAACTTCTGGCAGGCTGCAGCAGCTCAGGGAGGAGGTGGCTGCTTGACCTGAATGCTACAACGATCTCAGCTCTCTCTGCCTCCCTGAAATCCACAGAGACCACGGTGCTGCCGCCCACCGCCGCCTCCACCGGCACAGCCTCCAGCCCTGAAAAAGGATCCTCCACTCCCGAGACACCCAGCACACCCCCGGGGAGCAGCCGTCCCTCTCCTCCCACCACAGCCCCACACACGGGTACATCAGCCGAGCCCCCGACATCCCCTCTGGACACCACAGCCCCGCACCCCACCAGCTCTGGGGTGCCCGGGAGCACCCCAAATCCCAGCCAGACACTGGGGACCACAAACGGGACCAGCCCTGGTGCCTCCACCCTGACCACGGGGACATCCCCGGACACCCAGGCGTCACCCCCCAGCCCCGGTGCCACCACGGGTGAGTGTGGCTGAGGGGTGAGGGGTGGGTCTTCCCCAGGTTTAGGACCCTCTGGCTAGCTAACTAACTCCACGTTGCTTTGCCCAGGCACCTCCCCTGCCACCAACTCAACCCAGAGCCCAAACAACATCTCCAGCACCTCCACGGCCCAGCCGACGGCAGAGCCCACCTGCCCCGGCATCATGAGCCCAGGCGGTAAGTGCCACCTCCTGGGACCCCAAACTCTTCTCTGAAGCCTTTCTGGAAGGGCCACACGTGTCCCATGGGCATGGTGGTGGCCTTTTGGGGTCCTGCAGCCCCTCTCCTTTCGTCCTGTTCTCAGCCTAGGGGCACCGGAGGTGTGCGGGGTGCGCGGTTTGCTGTGCGCACAGGGGGTGGCGCAGAGCAGGGTGGGGGGCACAGAGCAGGGTGGGGGGCACGCCTGAGCCTGCTCAGCCCTGGTTGTGGTGCTGGGGAGAGACCCCAGGTGTGGGGTGGGAGGGGAACCAGCAGAGCTGTGCCTTCTGCTCCCAGCGGAGTCCCACATCTTCCTGTCCGTGCGCCTGGCCGGCCCCCTGGACCCTGGGAACAAAACCATGCAGGACCTGATCCTGTCCGAGGTGAGCTGTGCCCGCAGCCCTTCCCAAGGGGCTCTCCCCTTTGTCTGGGTGGGGACAGGGGGCAGGAGACCCCCTCTGGGACCCCCCCTCAATGCTGTGGGGTGTCACGGCTGTCCTCTGCCCCCAGCTCCGCCACAGGCTGCAGGTCAAGTTCCCGCAGGCTGACTTCACCATGCGGTGGAGTGGGAAGAAACCCTGAGCGCTGCCCCACGCTGCAGCCCCCCAGCCGCCCGTGGCACCGAGGAAGACGAGGAAGGAGCCCCTGCAGCCCGTTGTCAGCCCCCGTGTACTCCGAAATAAGCAGATTTCAGGACCTGGCCGGCTGCGGGGGCACAGCCGGGGGGTCCCACGTCACTGCTCTGCTCCCCCCCCGGCTGCGTGCGCCGTGGGGCTGTGGAAATCCCGTGGGTTGAAATCCTTCCCTGTTTTTTTTTTCTTTTTTTTTTTTTTTCCCCAGTCTCTGGTTAAGGAGACGGCCGCGGCGTCGATCCCCCTGCAGCGAAGTCATTTATTAACTGATTAATTAGGCAGATAAAATCAGGCCGAAGCAGTTATTACCCTAAGCAAGTCACCTCGTGGAGAGATTAAAAAGTGAAATAATCACCCAAATGGCTGTGTTGTTCCTGCGGGGGGAGGGAATTTTGGCTGAGCCCTTCCTGCAGCCCCTGTCCCACCGAGGGAAGGGGCATTTGGGGCTGCAGACACCAAACCTGGGGACTGCTCCCAGGCAGCTGAGCTGTCACCCAGCAGCCAGGAGGGACACGAAGCCACCTCGGAGCCACCCAGCATATAGGGTCTGGGCAATGGGGGGGGCTCGGTGGGGTCTGGAGCCCCGAGAGCTCACCAGGATGCTGCGATTTGGGCAGGATCTGTCCCCAACCCGCTGCTGGCTCCTCTCATTCTGCTCTGTGCGAGTCGCAGGCCGGGCTGGGACAGGGAGGGAGCACAAATGGGGACATAAAAACACAACCCCCTGCGGTCACACAGTGACCCCGCTGATGGTGACCCCAATTTTGGGAGAGAGAGGATGGGGACTGCCTGGCCCTGAGGCTCTGGGCTGTGTCACCTGCTGCTGGCCACCAACCTGGAGGTTCTCCTCCTCCGGGACCTGCACACATTTCCCAAAGGGAAAAGCAGCCCGCAGGAGCACACCCCAATTCCCCAGGGAGCTGTTTCCTGGCTTTTTGGGGGCTTTTTTTTTTTTTGAGCCCTTAGCACAGCTCTGCTCCTGCTGCAGCGGGGTGCAGAGCAAGGGGAACCCGGGCAGAGCCTGCTGGATGGGGTCCCCGCTCCCCACGCCTTGTAGGGCACGGGGGAAATCATCCTCGTGCTCTGCCCACGCCGTGGCACCGGGCCAGGAGCCCTCCCACGCCGAGTCCCACCGGGCTGATCCTGCCGGCTGTTGAATCCATAACTTCAGACCCCGGGACGTGGCGCGGGGCCAAGGCCGGCAGACGGCAGCCAAAGTGCGTCACAAAGGGAGGAAAAAGGTCCCCAAGTGCTGGGATGAAAAGGTGACCGGGGCACTTACCATCCCCGTCCGGCACAGCTGCCTTCATGGCAGGGGGAGGAGATGCTCCGGGGGTGGCTGAGCCCCCCCGTCCTCATCCTGGGACGGAGCAGAGGGGATCTGGTTGTGATGGGGGTGCTGTGATCCCAAAATGGGGACACGGAGCTGTGACAGGCTCCCAGCACGGCCGAATGCTTGCTGGGCTCTGGGTGCAGCCCTCCCAGAGCCCCCGCTCGCAGCTGGGGGAAGGTGATGGGACCCAGCTGTGCCTGGAGCACCAGTCCTGCTGTTCCCAGTTTGAATTTTTCCCACCTTCCACTTCCCAACATAGACATCTTTAGGGGTTTCTCCTCCGTGCTGTGGAGCCTCCCCACCAGGATGGGGTTTTGCCACCGTCACCTCGCTGGGATGAGCTGAGTAGATGAGACAGGGATGTTGCTCGCAGTGAGGGGCTCTTCCAGCCCTCAAACCATCCCTCACCCTCCTGCTGTAACCTATTTCCCTCCATCAGCATCACCCCTGGTTGCAGACCCCTCTCCCCGGCACCCAGGGGGACCCTCCCCTCTGGAGGGTGGCACCAGCCCCTGGTGACCGAGGTGTCCCCTCCAGCGTCCCCCTCCCCTTCACTGCTCTGTGCCCGGCGCACCAAATGATCCATAACCCGTGGGGTTGATGGATAACCCGTCCCCCCCCCGCCGCCCCCGAGCCCCCTCCAGATGCCCTTGCCGGCAGGAGATGCCGTAATCTCGGCGGGGCTGGAACAAGCAGCCCATTAATTCCAGGAAGGCCGATAAGGCGCTGCCGTGCCACGCTGTGCTGCCTGCTGCTGAGCCCCCCGGCGCTGGGGTTCCCGGCACTGCCCACCCCAGACCCAGGATCCCGAGGGGATCCCATCCTCAGATCCAGCATCTCCCCGCTGTGGGTTTGGTGGGACCGTGCTGACCCCCAAAACCAGGCTCCTTCTGTACATTTCTGAGTTCCGTGCTCTCTGTCCCATTTCTTGGCTCCGGTGTCCATCCTGTGCTGGGCTGCCTCGATAACTGCGGATGAGAAATGGCCCTGCGGGATCCGGTGGCTTGCTGGGATCCTGGTTTGGGGCACAACAGAAGGATTAATGGGGTGGGAGTGGGACACCGTGCTCGTGGCAGGGGGGTTTTGGGGAGCGCAGAGGAGAGGGAGCTTTTGGGCACTGTCCCCCCGCATCGCCACCGCTCTCCCCATTCGTTCCGGGTGAGCGGTGATTTACATCCAGCTCCCGGTGCCCGGGCGGGGGGGGAGGCGTGGGTGTGTTGGTGTGACGGGTTTTTGGCGTGACTTGGCCACCCCTGGCATCGCCCACGCTGCCGCTGCCACCGCCGCCAGCTCCACCGAGGCCGGCTGGGGCGGGCACGGCGCGCTAATGGCAGCGGGCAGGAGCCGCCCGCGGGCATTGCTGGTTAAGGAGCCATTAATTGCTCACCAAACACCCACTGCTGGGTGTTGTGCAATGCCTCTCACCCCCGGGGAGCCCTGAGTGGGGAGCAGAGGCTGTAGGGGTAGAGGGCTGGGGGGGGATATGGGGTGCACCAACCCAGCACCCACCCCGGCACTGCTGCGCCCGCACGCAGGGTGGTCATGCTGGGGGGTTGGATGGGGCTCCCCAGTGCTCCCAGTCACAGAGGAGCACTGGGGGAGGCTGGGTGATGCCCCAGGGCCTGCCCCAGATGTGTGTCCCCCAGGCCGTGCCCTGCCTGGATCAGGTCCCTGTGGGGTGGATTTTGGGTGCCCCCCAGCCCGCACCCAGCTGTAAGGGGCTGGTGCTCCCTGGGGACCCCCAGAGCCTCGCGGGGAGGTGGAAGGGAGGGCGGGGAGGGAAGGGGTTGGGGACAGGGACGTGGAGGGAGAGCACCCGGGGGCGGGAGGGGACCTGCCTCCTCTGCCATCCCTATAAATAGGAGGGACCTGGAGTGGGATTGTACCTGTGGGACTCCAGCTCCAGCAGGAGAGCAGGGCCGGGGCTGCACCTCGCTGCTCTCCCTGCTCCCTTCCAGCTTCCCGGTGCTCCGGCAGCATGGGGACCAGGGGATGGACGCTTCCAGCCTTCGTGGGATGCTGCCTATGGGTTCTGCATGGTATGTCCCATATCCTGCTACCCCAGTCCTTGCAAATCCCCGGCGCAATCTGCCCCAGGGGGTATTACTGAGATGTTTTTGATTTTTTTTCCTTCTGGCTTCATTGGAAACTTTTCCTAGGATGAGTGCTTGCAGTCCTTTGCAACCAAAAAGCTGGGGAAGTGTTTTAGGGGGCAGGCACGGCCCCACAAGGCTGGTTGCAGCCAGGTCCCCCCGCAGCAAGGACACCAAAGGCAGGCACCGGGGGGGCACCAGGGCTGCTCCACCTCGCCCACAGCCCAACTCCGTGCTAAGGCTCCTCTTGCATGGGCATCCCCGCTCGGCCGCTGCAGGGTGCACGACATTTCCTGCTCCCTGCGCAAGAATTCAGATAAAAGGTGGATTTGTTAGGGTGCAGAGTGCCAAAATAACTTGGGTGACTCACTGTTTTCCCCGAGCTGAGAAGGGAAGCGGCTCATCTCCTCCAGCCGATAGGGAAAGGGGGGATTTCTGCAAACACCTTCACTCACCAGGCGAAGACGGGAGCGGGGCAGGAAGGGGAAGGGGAGGAAGCAGCCCGGAGGAAGGGGAGGCGGGGGGGGACCCCAGGACTGGGGCAGGAGGCTGGGTCACTGTGGTGCCACGCAGCTCTCGGCACGCCACCGAGCCTGGGAGCCACCTCTGCTGCTGGGGGGCCGGTGGCCTCGTGGGGGGAACCTGCCGAACAGGAGCACCGGGGCTGGGAGCGGGCTGAGCGCCCAGTCTCACCCGCAGGGTGCTGATTAGGGCTCCCCTAATTGCAGCCGCCCGGAGCCAAGTGTCAGCAGATCCTGCAGGCTGCAGCTCCATCCCTGCAGCGGTTGCGCCCCGGTCCTAAAAATAGGGCTGGGTGGGACACGTCGCCACCACGCTGGTGCCTGCCCCGACGGGAGGCTGCTGGGCTCCTCCTGCAGCTTTTGGGGCTGGGGAGAGGCTCCTGGGGTTGGGGGGTCTCCATCCAACCCCTGCAGATAAGGGCCTGGGTGGGGGGCAGGGTTTTGGGGGCTGCGGTGGGCCAGGAGCCCTCTGCAGCCAGCAAACGTTTCACCGAACCGTGCCAGAGAGCTCTGCCAAAGAGCTTTGGGTGAAACGTATTTAAATGTCTCTCAGACACCCCAAAAGATTAAAAAACGCAAAGCTGCGCCCAGGGGCGTCTCTGCAGCGAGGCAGAGAGCGACAAGGGCTGCCCTAAGACGTGGTCCCACGCCACGAAGGGGCAAAATAAAGGCGGAAAATTCCCCTTTGTGCGGGCACATGGGTACCTGCAGCCCCCTGCCTGCTTTGTGTCCCCCCCTGCCCCGCTGTCCCACCATCCCCTGTGCTCCCACCCTAGGAGCAGGGGGCTTCTGGCCCCATTTCCCCCATTAACACCCTGCCCTGTGCTCCCTGCAGGGCTCGGGGCCGCCGTCGCCGTCCCGCTGAGCACGGAGGGGCCGCTTGGTGCCCACACGGCTTCTCCCACCGCGGCGCAGAGCGAGGCACGGGGCGCCCTGACGGCGGGCACCGCGGGGACGAGCAGCGCCGTGGCTGATACTGAGACAACCCAGAGCATCCTCGCGGGACGCCCGGCCAGCCCGACCTTCCCCTCCGGGGTTGAGGCAGATTTGGTGACCGCGACCAGCGCTGCTCCGGCTGCGGGGAGCGATGCTGAGGCTGAGCCGAGCCCTGGTGCAGCCACGCAGGCTCCCAGCGGAGAGCCCCAGGCGGTGACGGACGTGGCCACGGCCCTTAATGCGTCCCAGGGAAACCAGACGGTTTCGGCTGCTGCCTTGGTTTTCACCCCCCAGCCTGCCTTCACCCCCAGCTCAGAGCTTGGTGTGACGGGGGCCGCTCCCGCTGCACCCCCCGGGGCCACCCCTCTGTTTGCAGACGTCCTCGCGTCGGTGACGAGGGAAGGAGCGGACTTGGAGCCCACAGATAATGCCACATCCCTCCCCACCACCCTGCCACCAGCAGCTGCAGGGGCAGAGCCAACAACCGGCAGCCCCCCGGGTCCCCATGTCACTGCGCTGCTGAGCCAAGGGCTGGCCACGGCCATGGGAGCTGTGGAGGAAGGTGTCACCCTGCCTGGGGACAGCCACGGTGAAGGCAGTGCCCCCTCCTCCATCCCCAGCCCTGAAGCCGAGGGGCTGCTCACAACGCAGTGGGACGAGGCGCTGAGTGGGACCGGGGGTGTCACCGCGGGGCCAGCAGCTCCGGGCTCTGGCGATGCAGGAGATGCAGAGGATGGTGCTGTTGGCACAACTGAATCATCCCATCTGGCTCCAGAGAGTGGGACAGTGTCGGGAGCAGCAGAAAACCCAGGGCAGGTCTCCCTCCTCGCTGGACAGGCAGGGCTGAGCCCGGCCACCTCTCCAGGTGGTGGGGACGGAGATGTGCAGGGAGCCCCGGCGGTGTCACCGGCCAGCCCTGGCTCACCCGGGGAGCGAGGGGACACGGCCACCTCGCTGCTGGCCTCCAGGGCCCCCACGGATGCGCAGAGTGACACGGATGCCCCAGCCTCATCCATTGCCCTGCCCCTACCCACGGGGGCTGTGGGTCCGGCCGAGCCTTCCCTGCAGCCTGCCCCATGGCAGAGCCCCACTGGAGAAGAGCAACCGCAGCACGACGCCGCTCTGCTGTCCCCCACGGACACCCCCAGTGCCCCCGGGGCCGCTTTCCCACCCCCAGGGGCTGCAACTGCTGATGGGGCAGAGACAACAGCGAACCCCGACCTCGGTGCTGCCCCAGGAGTGCCCGTCTCGCCGTCCCTTGTGGGGTCACAGCCATGGGAGACAGCAGCCGGTGCTCCCGAGGGAGCTGATGGAGCTGGCACCGGCCTCAATTCAGCTCTGGGTGCTGCCAGCCCGGCTTCTTCTGCACCCGATGGCCTGGCAGGGACTGCTCAGGGGGACACGGTGGACACGGCACGGGCAGGGGACGCAGGGGATGGCAGTCCTTACGCAGACACCCAGGGTGCCACCAGCTCTACGTCCAGCAGCACTCAGCAGGGCCCCGCTGACACCGCTGAGCTGCCGGCAGCCCCAGCAGGAGCCCTGCCCAGCACCGAGCTGTCCCCTGCTGCGGCGCCTGGGGACGGAGCAGGAGCAGCCCCGGCACCGGGAGAAGTGTCCCCACCTGGTGCCACGGCTCCTGGCTATGGGGGGCTGGAGCCCAACCTCTTGGGGGATAAAGGACAGGGACCAAGCCAAGCCCCTGGAGCTCCTGGTGCTGCTTTCCCACCTCCTGTTGCTGAATCTGGAACCGTGTTTGGGACCAGTGATGGGGCAGGGACAGCAGCAAACCCCGACCTCGGTGCTGCCCAGGGAGACCCCATATCCCCGTTCCTTGTGGGGTCGCAGCCGTGGGGGATGGCAGCTGGTGCTCCCGCAGGAGCAGCTCTCCCTGGGGTTGAGGGACCAGGATCTGGCTTCAGTTCAGCGCTGGATGTCCCCAGCTCAGCATCGTATGGACCTGTGGGACCCCCATCGCCCACCCTCGGGGTCCAGCCCGGCACAGCTCTGGGGGTGCCGGGAGCAGAGGGGCAGGCGCTGGGAGGCAGCGGGATGGGGTCGGAGCCATCCCTGAGCTCCTCTGCTGGTGCTGGGGTGGAAGCTGGGATGGATCTGGTGCCTGGTGCCATGTCCCTACCCGGTCCTGCCTCTCCCGGTGGCACACTTCCAGCATCTTCCACCTTGGAGAACGGGGGAGCAGCAGCCCCTGGCCCTGACCTCCTGTCCCAGGGCTCTCCGTACGGTGGAACTGGCTCAGAGCTCGCCACGGCGCAGGGAACTGAGAGCGCAGGGGACACGGCAGAGGCAGCAAACCCAGAGGGCACAAATCCCTACACGGACACCAGCTCTACGTCCAGCAGTGCTCAGCAGAGCCCTGCTGACACCGCCGAGCTGCCGGCAGCCCCAGCAGGAGCCCTGCCCAGCACCGAGCTGTCCCCTGCTGCGGCGCCTGGGGACGGAGCAGGAGCAGCCCCGGCACCGGGAGAAGTGTCCCCACCTGGTGCCACGGCTCCTGGCTATGGGGGGCTGGAGCCCAACCTCTTGGGGGATAAAGGACAGGGACCAAGCCAAGCCCCTGGAGCTCCTGGTGCTGCTTTCCCACCTCCTGTTGCTGAATCTGGAGCCGTGTTTGGGACCAGCGATGGGGCAGAGACGGCAGCAAACCCCGACCTCGGTGCTGCCCAGGGAGCCCCCATATCCCCGTTCCTTGTGGGGTCACAGCCGTGGGGGATGGCAGCTGGTGCTCCTGCAGGAGCAGCTCTCCCTGGGGTTGAAGGACCAGGATCTGGCTTCAGTTCAGCACTGGATGTCCCCGGCTCAGCATCGTATGGACATGTGGGACCCCCATCGCCCACCCTCGGGGTCCAGCCTGGCGCAGCCCTGGGGGTGCCGGGAGCAGAGGGGCAGGCGCTGGGAGGCAGCGGGATGGGGTCGGAGCCATCCCTGAGCTCCTCTGCTGGTGCTGGGGTGGAGGCTGGGACAGATCTGGTGCCTGGTGCCGTGTCCCTGCCCGGTCCTGCCTCTCCTGGTGACACGCTCACAGCTCCATCAGTTTCGGATACACCCAGCCCAGGTGCCCTGGGAGGAGCAGGAGCTGCCCCTGGTGCTGTGCAGCCTGCCCTGGGTGCTGGACCCGGCCCCCAACCTGCTGCAGGAGGAGGTGGGGGCGAAGGGGCTGGGGCTGGGGCTGGGGAGTCCCTGGGGGTGTCCCAGGACCTGGATGGAGCAGCTGGAGCCTCTGGTGGAGGAACGGGAGCTGTGCTGCACTCTGCATCTCCCTCCTCATCTCCTGAGGGATCTTCTTCAGCCGGGACGAGCGGTGGAGCTGCCGAGGGAGCAGGAGGTCCTGGAGCTGCTGTAGGACCGAGCCCAGGCTTGGAGGCTGCTGGCCCCCAAGGCAACGAGGAGACCCCCGTGCCTGCCCCCGGCACCCAGAGCGGTGCCGACTTTGGGCTCTCGGATGCCAACCTGAGCCAAACCAACGTGGTGCAGCTGGCTGGAGGAGAAACGGGAGCCTCGGCCCCCGGGGCACCTTCCCCCGGTGCCAGCGGGGCAGATGGGGCAGGGGCCATCATCCAGATCACATCGGGGGTGCTGGCCCCCTCCGTCCTGTCCTCTCCCCTGGTCCCGGTGGCCCCGGATGCCTCCAGCCTTTTGCCAGCTGCCTCTGCTGGGGGTACTGGGGGGAGCTCAGCACCAGCACCCAACGGGGGCCCCCCCTCTGCCTCCGGCACCCCAAGTGGGAGCAGCCCCTCGGCACCAGGCTCCCCACTGCCTGTGGCGGGTGCTGGGAGCGCTCTGCCAGGATCCCCCAAATACGAAATGGCCTCAGGGATGCCGGCACCTTTGGGAGAAGAGTCCCCACGTGCCCCCGTGCCCCCCAACGCTGTCCCCTTCCTGCCTCCTCTCCAGCCTGGGGGTCCTGGGGTCCCTCCAAACCCCGTGGTGGCTGAAGGCAGAGGGGACACCGATGGCCCCGTACTGGGGGAACCACGTCCTGGTGTGGCTGTAGGATCAGGGGGAGCTGTGGGGTCTCTCTCTGTCCTTCCTCCTGCTGGCCCTGCTGCTGGCAGCCCCTTGCCCAACATTTTGGGGTCGGGACCTGCCGGGGGCTCATCGCCCCCAGCCCTGCGCCCCTCCTTGGGCAGCGCCACCCCTGCAAACAGGGTCCCTGCTGCTGGAGGGGCGAGCATCTCCGCACCCAACCCAGGCCAGGGGGGAGCCCAAAGGGGGTCTGCCCCCACCACCATGCGTCCAACCGTGTCCTGCAGCCCATCCCCAGCAGCTCCCAGCCCTGGGGGCAAGAAGGGGCTGCCAGGGCCGGGGACAAACACAACGGCCGCTCTCGCTGCCCGCGCATCATCCTCCAAGCTTCCAGCTCCTCCACGATCAGCAGCGGCTGCCCCGGTGCCTCCACCCGGCCCCACAGGTAGGGGATGCCCCGGGTAGGGCAGGGAGAGGGGTGGGAGAGGGACCCTACAAGGGAAGGTGACGTGCAGGGTGTCCCGGTGTCCCCCGTCCTCCTGCTGCCCAGCCTGGGTCTCTGAATGCAAAATTGTTTCGGCCATTTGTGTTGGTTTTGCTATAACCATTTTTTTTTGGTTTTGTTTTTCTTTGTTTTGTGTGTTTGTTTTTCTGTTTTAGTCCCAGCCGTGTCCCTCTATGGCTACGGACCAAGGGAAAACGACCGCGAGTATGTGGAGAGGAGGGTGGACTTCAACTCTCCCCTTTTCAAGCCCGAGACTGGGTTCCCGTTTGGGAAAACCCTCCGGGACTCTCTCTACGTGAGTCTGCATTGCCCTGACTTGTTGTAGGGTGGGCGGCCATCCCCCAAAAACCTGGGGGAGACACCAGGAGCTGGGGCCCGGCTTGGGATCCGTGCAGGCAGGGGTTGGTTGGGGTGCTTGCGGGGTCCGTTTGGGGCAGGAGGTGACTTCGTGGCCCCTTCATCTCCTCCCCTGTGCTCAGTTCACAGACAACGGGCAGATCATCTTCCCCCCCTCCGACAGCAGCACCCCCACGTACCCCAACCCCCCTCCCCGGGGGTTCAATGGCCACGAGGAGGTGCCCATGATCGCCGTCTTCTGGGACAACGCCGACTTCTCCAGGGGCACCGGCACCACCTTTTACCAGGTGGGTGAAGCCATCCCCGTGCGTGACCTCGTTACGCACTTTTCGGTGATCCATCTTTGAGAATCCCCCTTGGGATGCGTGATCGATGGAGTTGGCGGGTGGCATTTCAGTTTTCTGGGCTAGATCTAAGAGGTTTTGGTCGTGCGTGAGTCCATCACCTGCACAGAAGCCTCTGCCAGCCAAACCACGGTTGCAATGCAGAGCATCACGAACACATCTCCCTGTGAGACCCCAAATCCAGCCCTGCCTGTGCTTTGCTGGGAGACAAACGAGGTTTGCGCACCCCAAACCCGCAGGAGTTCCTCACCCTGAATTCGGAGAAGCCGCCCTTCATCCGCGACGTGGAGGCAAAGGTCCGGCGGTACCTGAGGTCCTCCTACTCTGCAGCCTGGACCCTGAAAATCACCTGGGACAGGGCGCCCGCCTACGGCACACGGGGTGACAGCCGGAGGGTAAGGGGCTGCCAGGGCTCGGGGGTGGCCGGGTGCCAAAAGGCGAGAGCTGCACCCATGGGTGCCTGGACGGAAGGAGCTGGTTCTGCCAAAAATATCACTCCTGAAGCCCCTCTCTCCGCCACCACCTGCAGCGACCCACCCCCCGTTTTAAATTTAGTTTTAAACCCGGCAGCTTTGCTCGGTTTCTTACCCTCCCACCGTGCTTCTCCCCAGACGAACACGTTCCAGGCCGTCCTCACCACCGACGGCTTCAGGTCCTACGTGCTGCTCCTGTACCAGGACGGGGGCATGCGGTGGGATTACCGCCAGCTGCCGGCTGCCAACGTGCTCATCGGGTACACCAGGTACTGCGTGTGGGGTCACAGCACGGGGATGGGGGGATCCGAGCCGGGAAGGGCGATCCCTGACTCTCCCCTCTTCCCTCTGCGCAGCGGGGATGGCTCTTACCACAACGATGACCTGACTCAGGGACCCCCGGCTGCCAAATATCGCCCTGACCAGTTCAGGGGATACAACACAGGTAGGGGCACGGCCTGGGGAAGCTCTGTGAGGGGATGGGGGCATCCTCAAGCAGGGGGTGGAATCCAGGTGGTGGTGCAGCAAGGCTCTCCATGAGTTTCATGGCGATCAGTGGGGTTTTGCCCTGATTTTGCACATAAAACGCCTCCCCTGGGCACCAGCCGTGCCGTGAGGCTGAGCCTGAAACACCCTCGGCACATCAATTTTTGGTGCCGTGGCTGCGTCCTGGGGATTTCTTCTTTGTCAAGTGCTGCTCCCCTCATTTTCCTGGCGTTGGGGGACTGCTGTGCATGGGGTCCCGGGGCTGGGAGCATCCCCATCACATCTCCTGCCTTCCTTCCTTCTCAGATCTCCGCGGGCTGTGGCTGTACAGGCTGGAGAGCCGCGTGGGTCTCAACTACCGCCTGAAGTGCCTGGCGTGGACGGGGAGGCAGCAGGAGCCGCGGATGTGGAGCCAGGACCTGCCCTCCTGCCCCTGCTCCCTGCAGCAAGGGCAGCAGGACCCGCGCTTCAAGAGCAGCCGGGGAGGCAAGTGGCACCGCCGTGCCCAGCGTGTCCCCTGCGGGCTGGCTGGGTGTCCCCCCCTGGGTGTCCCCTCTTGGGGGGGACCCCGCCATCCCCTTTTGGGCCCCCTGCAGTGCCCAAAAGCTGACGGCAGCCCCGTTTCAGGCTGGTCGTCTGCCCGCGTGTCCATGCTGCACTCCGCCTCTCCCAACCGCTACGGTGCCGGCGTGCGCTGCCTGTACGACAGCCGGGGGCAGCTCGTGGAGGGGCGGCAGGAGAGGTACTGGAGGTCCTCCAGACAGGTGTCCCCATTCCGTGGTAAGCACAGCCGGCCTCAGCCTCCCTGCGCTGCCAACCAAGGCGTGGGTGGGCTGGAAACATCCCCGTGCCAAGCCGCACGGCACCAACTGGAGCCCGTAAATCATTTTAACCCCCGTGCCAGCCTGTCTACTGGGGCTGCACGGGGCTGTGCTGCGGTGAGCGCCCTGCCCCACTCTTCTTCCCTTCTGATTTCTTTAATCCTTGCCCCCAGACCAGGAGCTGAAGCTGTACGACTGGTGCTGCAACCAGGCGGCAAGCGCCCGCCTCTGCGCCCGCTACGGCGAGAAGAGGCCGAGGATCGGCTGTGACGGGTACCAGCCACTTGGCACAGGTGGGTTCCCAGCCCCTGTGTGCAGGCACGGTGCCACCTCTGTGCCAAATTGGGGAGGGACATCCCAGCCACCCCTAGTTAATGCAACAAAATCCTTGGGTGGGTCAGATGGGGAGGGTCAGCAGCACCCAGGGGCTCCGTGCAGCACCCAGGGGTGCCATGCAGCACCCAGTCCCTCCCCGAGGCAGGCACCTGGGGGTGGCAGCCCCACAGAGTGGCTGTGGGTGGGATCTTACCCATGGTCTTTCTTGCAATCCTCAGCAGATTCCTCTGAAGACATCGACTCAGATGAACAGACAGGTGAGTGGGCTCAGGGGGCTCCTCTCCGCCGGCCGCGTCCCCAGGAGGCAGAAATCCCCCCGGGGGGGTCGCTGCTCTCCCCAGACCCTCAGGGAGGAGATGGCCGAGCTCTCACCACTTCTTTGCAGATGAGGAGGACGAGTAACTAAAGGGATGCACATCCACAACGCGCTCCGGACCACAGCTGATCCCCCGAGTCCTTCGCTCCTGATCATACCCAGCAAACCCGTGTGTCCCCCTGCGTGTCCCCGCTCCCCCCGGTGATGATCACCCCGTTCCAGCGGTTCCCTTCACCGTAGAAGTTCCCCTTTTCCCCCCCAGTCTGCCACCTCCTCGCCAGTGGCAGGGGGACAGGCAGTGCCACCGTGTCCCTTGTCCCTGCTCCCCAGCCTGGGGCTGGCAGGGCGAGAGTTGCTGGTGGAGGGGTTCGGGTTGCCTTGCTTGGGGCCACCCCCACGGTCAGAAAAGCTGGGAGAAAAATAATAATTTGCGAGTGTGAGAGAGCATCTGCACTTCTTCTGAAACCACAAGTAGTCCTCGTCAAACCTAGTCTCTTCAATAAAGTGTGGGAGGGTCTGAGCATGACTGTGGTGTCTGTCGGGGGTGTGGGAGGAGGATGGGGACAGGCTTGGAGCAGGGACCAGGGCCTGACCGGTGCCATCTGAGCCATGAGAGGCGATCTGGGGGAGCTGTGGGATGGGGTGCACACACCACGCAGCAGCGTGCTGTCATTTCACATTTATTCTGTTCATAACGGGTCAGGATCCCCGGGTCCAGCCGCACTGTGCAGGGGCACCCCAGACAGACTCACCCACGGGTGACCCCAGTCACTCCTGCAGGTCCTGAGCAGAAGGCGAGACCCCTATTTTGCTGCCCCAAGCATCCCCCCCTGTAGCACAGACACCTCCCCCAGCCCCCAGATGCGATGCTCCATGCCCAGCGGGCACGTGCCCGGAGCCCCCCATCCGATGCTGCCCCTGCCCCGGGTGGGCACGGAGCCGGGACCCCCGGGAGCGGCCACGTCTCGGTGCTGGAGGGGCTGCAGGGAGGCTACGGCTGCAGGGCAGGCTGGCTTGGAGCCCTGACCTGGGGTCTCTTGATTCTTATCTGCAAAGAAGGGATGGGACAAGCGGTGCTGGTTTTGCTACGAGCCCCCCAGTAGTGCAGCCCCCGATGTCCCTGATGCCCCAGGACTGGGCACCGCGGGGCAGCTCCGATGGACTCTGAGCCCCGGGACAAGGACATCGGTGCCAGGCCAGGCCAGCGCCACCCCACGCAGGGGACAATAACCCCGGGCAGACCTGGACGGATGGGTCGATGGCCTGGAGCCGTGGTTCCCAGAGCCTTCCCGAGCCGTGGGAGCGGGTGCTCTCTGCTCGCTCTGCTGCCTTCGTCAGGGCTGGGGTGAGGAAGAGGAGCAGGGCTGGGGAACACCGGGGGGGTGCAGAGCCACCCCAGTGACCCAGCACGTGCCCGAGCTGGGGTACGGGTGCTGCACAAAGCAGAGGCTGGGTTGGGATGCAGGGGGTGCTCACAGGAGAACTGCCGAGGCCTCCAGAAGGTGTCCTTGGTCCTAGGAGAGGGGCACAGAATGGGGTCAGGAGAGCCGCTGCCTTGTCCCAGGCCCCAGAGTGGGGAGTAGTGACTGAGTATAGGGTAGGCAGGGCTGTGGGATGGGGATTTAAGGGAAAAAAACCCTGCTATTGCACACACACCCCATTTCTTGCCCTGCCCCAAGTATAGGTGACCACACCTCCCTGCCCAACTCTTTCCAGGGGAGCATGAGTTTCGGTGGAGAACATTTGGATGGCATTCAAATTCGAGTCAAATGGAAAACCCTTCTGTAACCGAGCGCTGGGTGGGATGAGGAAGAAATGCAAATAATTTCTGACACGGAGGTGGGGGGAGGAAAGGAAGCTGAAGTCACCCCGCTGATGCTATTGTACCAGGTACCTGCAGCAGGGTGCCTTCCCCCAGCACCCTTTGCCACTTTTTGGGGAGGGATTTTCCACTTTTCCATCCTGGCAAACCTCTCCTTGAATCCCAGCCTCCATTCCCTGCTGCTCTCACACCCTACAGCACCCATCCCGTGTGGGTCCAGCCCCCGCAGCCCCGAGCCCCTCGCTCACCCCCAGGGCTCCTGGTGCCGGCGGCAGAGGCGCAAGGCGAGGCAGGAGGTGGTGAGCAGGAGGCAGAGCAGAGCCAGGGCCCCCAGCAGGATGCCGAGGAAGGCGGCGAGGCTGACGGCGAGCTGCTCACACCGTGCACCAGCCGGGGAGAAGATGGAGAAGGAGGTGCAGCTGTGGAAGGGATGGAGCCGAGGTTTGGCTGCGGGGAGAGGTGGCCACATGGGGTGGCCTCCACCGCGGTGCCACTGCCGCCTACCTGCACGTGGGGCCCTCGGGCAGGTGCCGGCACCGGCCGCCGTGCTGGCAGTAGCCCTTCTTGCAAGGGGAGATGCAGAGGAAGCCGGTGGTCCCCACGTAGTCCAGCTGGTAGCCTTCGTAGCCGTACAGAGCGCAGGAGAAGTAGTGCCTCAGCTCCGCCACCGTCACTGGCGAGAGATGGCACAGGGTTAGCCCATAATTTGGGGTGTCCCTGGCTTTTGGGACACCATCCCCAAGCCTTCCCTTGGATAGGAATCACCACCAAGCCCCTTCCACCCCCCAGACCCCGGGGCACGCCAGGTGGCAGGGGATGGACCATGGGGACACCGTGGTGCCGGGGGCACTCACACTTCACCACGTCAGTGACGTTGTCCAGGTGGAGGTGCTCCAAGAGAAGGTCTGTGCCCACGTCCCGCCGTCCCCGCTGCTCGTTGAAGGCGCTGGCGATGGCCCCCAGCAGCTCCTCGTTCAGGAACTGGATCACGGAGCCGCTGCTGCCGTAGGCAAACTCGGCCACCACGGCGAAGGCGAAGCCAGCAGCTGCCCTGCGGTATTTTCAGATTTAGAAATTTGGGGGCTGGAAAAACAGATTCCTGGATGGCCCAGGGGGAGAAATGCCCTTTGTACCCCAACCCTTGCCTCGTCTGCTCGACACTCACATGCGGGTGATGTTGGTGTTGCCCTGGAAAGCCTTCACCTCCAGGGAGCCCAGGATGGCCGAGACCTGTGCCGAGGGGTGTGTGGGGGTGAGCAGAGGGCTGCAGGCACCGTGCCCCAGCCCCGAGGGCTGCTCGGCCTCGTTCCTGCCTTGGGGACCAGCGGGGAGCACACGGGAAGGAGCTGCTGGATCCCTGGGGATGCCACGGGAGGGGATGCACGGGGTGCAGGAGGCACGGGCACCCCACGCTGCAGCATCCCCCCCGTCCCTGAGCCACCGTGACACCCCGTCCCCTGCCAGCTACGTACGGAGGCGTTGACTTCCCCGGCTGTGGCGTTTTGCAGCGCCCTGACCTGCAGCCTCACGCTCCTCCGGGGTAGATCTGCAGGGCAAAAACACCGTGGTGCCTTTTGTGCCCCAGGGCTGGCCGAGCTGGGACAGGGCACGGGGCACGGGCACCCACCTGGGCTGGCCGGGGGCTGAAAGTCCCCCCCTGCCACCAGGCAGCGCTGGTCGGTGAAGGCTGGGGGACACAGGCAGGTGGGCGCACAGGAGGAGGGGTGCAGGTGGCAGCGACCCCCATTGCTGCAGAAGCCCTCGGGGCAGGAATGGGACCCACAGGCTGTGCCACAGCCCGGCCCCTCGCCTGTGGGATGGAGCAGGGTGACACAGGGACACCGGTCTGCGCCCACACGGCTCAGGGGCAGGCACTGGTCAAAGTGCACTGCTCCATCCTCGCTGCTCCCACGCTGTGAGCCTTTCTTCTCTCTGCCCAGCCGAGCCTCAGCACCAGGCACCCTGAGCTGCTCGCCCTGGCAGATTTTGGGGCCGAGATCCCAAATCACACCCCAGGTTGCCATCACTCACCCTCCGCACCATCCGGGCAGGAGCAGGTGTAGCTGCCCACGGTGTTGGTGCAGGTGCCGTTCCCCGGACACGCCACCCCCTGTGCGCACTCATCGATATCTGCGGGCACAACGCGGCGTGGCACCGGGCGAAGCCTTTTGGCACCCCGTTCCTTCCCAAAGCCAGCCCTCATCACCTGAGCAGTGCCTCCCATCGCCCGTCAGGCCGGGCGGGCAGGGGCCGCAGCCGGTGAGAGGGTCGCAGCCCACCCCGGGGAAGCACCCCTGGGCGCAGGGGTCCGGTGGGTGCTGGCAGAAGGGACCCGAGAAGCCGTCCTCACACCTGCAGGCTGCCAGCTGCCAAGGGGATGGGGACACCGGCTTAGGGGACACGAGGATGGATGGATAGAGAGGGTGGCCGCGGCACACGGTGCTGCCCCGAGGTGGTACCTGCAGCGAGGAGCTGTTGACGGTGGCCGTGTCGTTGTAGTCGCACTCGCGGCTCGTGCGGCAGCTGCAGAGGGTGAAGCTGAGCTGGAGCAGGGCGGCGAGGTGCTGGGAGCCCACGGCCTGCAGGGTGACGCTGAGCGGGGCCGTCCCGCGGGGCTCCCACGTCAGGGTGCCGTTCTCTGTGGGGGACGGAGGGGGACACACTGTGAGGGTCACGTCCCTGTCCTCCCGGAGGGGTTCTCCCCAAAGCCCGGTGTCTGTGGGGTGCCCGTCCTGCCCCGTCTGCCCGCTGTCCCCATCCCTACCCGAAATGTTGAGCTCTGGGGAGATGTGGGGGACAAAGAGCGCGCCCGGCCCCTCGGCTCGGTACTGCCTCGTCACCCGCTGCATCCTGAAGGCTGTGAGGGACGGGTCACCAACGATGACGGGAGGGAAGGTGTCTGAGGAAACAGCAGCCCGGTGTGATCACCATGTGGCCTTGGCATCCTTCAGCTCTGCATCCCTCCTGGCCAGGAGGGGACAGACCCCAGGCAGGTGTAGCTGTGACCACCTGCCAAAAATCCCCCCTAGATGGCAAAAAAAGCCTGGCGAGCAGCCAGACAGGCAACGCAACTCAAGACCTTGGTGGCATCTCTCCTGCTGGTGGCATCTCCCAGGCGTGGAGAAAAATCCAAGACCTTGGAGGCATCTCTCTTGCCTCGCATGGAGCCAGGGGACCCAGGGAGCTGTTATCCATCCCGTGCCCTCGTGGAGGTGAGGACCTGCTCCACTTACTGAGCGCTGTCTTCTTCTCCTGGAAGTCCTCCACGAGGCTCTGGGTGGCCAGGCCCAGGGTCACGTCCCCCGTGCTCAGCATGTCGTAGATGCACTCCTTGCTGCCGCGGCACTGCGAGGCTGCCTGCTGGTACTGGCTTTCGTTCTGCCGCAGCCGAGACAAGAAGATGGGGGTGAAGTTCTCCGGTGCAGCCAGGGGCTGGGCGAACAGGCTGCGCTCTCCAACAGCCCCTGCAAGAGAGCACAACTGGGTAGGGCCTTCGGTTTTTAGCTTTGTTCTCTTCAGGGATGGTTTACACGGAGCAATAAAGAGACCAAAGAGTTCCCTGGCACCAGTCTTGCCCAGACAAGTGTCCAAATCTCTCCAGCCAAAGTGTGGCTGGAAGGTGCCGGAGCACGGGGATGGCCAGGGTGGATCCCCAGCCTGGCCTTACAGGTCATCCCGTAGCTGAAGATCTCCTCCTCGCTGCTGTTCACAGGGATGCTGGTCCCGTTCGGCATCTGGAAGTCATCTGCGGGGTTGTTGTCCCACACACCTGTGGGGGCACCACCGCAGGATTGGGGTCCCCTCTCCGGTGCCGCCCGGGGACACCCAGAACCAGGCTCCCACAGCCTCTTCCACCCGCTTTGGGGTGGGAAGGGGACCTTGCACCTGGCCCTGCGGCCGTGTTGGAGGAGAAATGAGGCTGCTGTGGCCCAGCTGGTGGTGCCCTCACCCAGGAGGCCCTTGGTGGTGTTGCGGTACCGATCCGGCAGGCTGCACACCACGCTGAGGAGCCCGGCGCTGGCTGAGATGGAGATGGAGACGGTGCCATCAAAGGTGGCCGTGATGGATGAGGTGTTGACCAGCAGCACCCCAGGGCTGTAGTGCACCTCGGCACCCATGTCTGCAAGGGGAGAGGAGCACAAGGGGAGAGCCCACGTCAGCCTGGGTCTGAAATGATGCCTTTGAATTTGGGGAGGGGAGGTCTCCCCATCTCCCCCTGGCCAGGTTCCTGAGGGATGGGGACACCCCTCAACCCCCCCAGGCACACTGAATGTTTAACGCCACATCCCGCTCACCTTGGGAGTAGGCAAACTGGATGGTTTGGTTGTTCAGGAGGACTTGGATGTCACCCTGGCTCCCCAAAGTCCACTCAACCTGCAAGTGCCAATGGATGTCCCCGTCAGCCCCTCCGCTCGTCCCTCCCCACCTCCTGCTGGGGACGTGATGTTACACCCTGTCCTCCAGCCCCAGCAGAGATGTTCAGCCCGGGGCCGTGCCAGCACGCTCATCACCCCAAAAAACACAATATAATGCAGCTGGGGTGGTGGTGTGGGTGAAGACGGTTAGATGCTCAAACCAATTCCCGGGTCACTCCTACTCACCGTGGTGGTGGTGCTGGAGATGTACTGGGCAGCGAAGGCCACGAAGTTGGTGGCCTGGGCTGTGCCAGTCCGGGCCGTGCGCCCTTGCAGCACGAAGCTGCTCCGGGCATCGCCGGCCAGCAGCAGGACAAAGTCCCCGAGGCCATTGAAGGTGTAGGTGAGGCCATCCAGGGTGGTGATGTGGGGGTCCCCGAAGGCACTGGCTGGGGTGCGAAGGAGATGGAGATATTTTGGGGGGAGGAAGGGAAGCGAATGCTGCCGTCATCGCATGGAGGAGGGCAGATCAGAGCGCGCGGCAATCTCCACCAGGATGCTGCGAAGCATGGGCAGCCCTGCCTGGCACGGGGACCACGCGTGGCCGTGCCACCCAGCCCAGCACGGAGGGACCCCGGGGACTCACCGGGGGTGGGCGGCAGGTATCCCTCACAGCCGGTCCTCGGTCTCTTCTCAGCAAACCTGCTGCAGAACCGGGGCTTCCCCACGCGCCGGCAGCACCACTCGAATGCCTCCAGCTCCTCGTCTGTGGGAGGATGGAGGATGAGTGCTGGGGGTGCGGGGACCCCGCTGTGCCCCTGTGCGCACAGAGGGACCCCACGGGTGTTTTAGGGAGCTCAGTGCCCTCTTACCAGCCGTGGCACGGGTGGGAGGCCTCCAGGCTCGCTCCTGCCAGCCCTCCAGCAAGCTCGTGCCTCGGTACACACAGCGCACCCCAGCTCCTGCCCGGCTGGGGGACGCGGTGCGCAGCACCCTCACGGTGCTGTCTGCCGGGTCTGAGACATCCCATGGGGTGGCAGCCACCCCGGCTGCAGGAGGGGGCTCAGCCCCACGCTCAGCACCTCTGCTGCGGCGGTAGCGGGGGTCCAGCTCGGCCTGGGGCCGCGAGCAGGGGCAGGGTGGCAGCTCCGTGCTCCAGGTGGTTGGGGCAGGCTGTGCCTCCAGCCACGCCAGGCACCGCAGCCGGTAATTCACCCGGCCGCGGGTGTCCAGCCGGTACAGCCACAGCCCCCGCACGTCTGGGGGGACGACAGGAGAACAACACACCCATTGGAGCTGCAGAAACCACCAAAAACCCCACAGGGGGGTCCTGGTGCCATCCGTCCCCCCACCAGCCCCGGACTGAAGGTGCCGTACCGGTGCCAGGGCTGCGGTGCTGGTCGGGTCGGTACCTCACTGCTGGTGGCTTCTGAGTCAGCTCGTTGTTTCGGGCATACCCATCACCGCTGCGTAAAGAGAGTGGGTTTGGGGTTAGGTTTGGGCTGGGGTCTCCCTCCCACCCCCCTATCACCACTGCCTGCCCAGCGGGGCGATGGCTCGGCACAGAGCGCATGGCCGGGTTTCAGGCTGGGGGGCTCCGTGGGTTTTTCCTGCCAGTTTGCAGAGAGAGGGGTTAAAAGGGATGGGGTTGGGCGAGGTGGGAGCTGGGCTCTCCTGGGGAGGAGATGCCTTGATGGCCCCAGCACGGTGGAAGAATGTGGGGTGTCCCAAAATGCAGGGCACCTGGAGAAGCCGATCAGCACGTTCCCAGCTGCCAGCCCGGCGTAGTCCCAGAGCATGGCACTGTCCTGGTAGAGCAGCAGGGCGAAGGACTGGTTCCCGTCGGTGGAGAGGACAGCCTGGTACGTGCTGGTCTGCAGGAACACACACGTTAGCACCCCACAGCCTCCCTCCCCTCTCCCCAGAACGCACACCGAGGATGCAAATGTAAAAATACACCATGCCCTGGTGTGGGGCTGGGCAAAACCAAGGCGAGACCCCAAATACCCATCCAGCTGGGCTCTGCCGTGCCCCATCCATCGCTGATTGCTGTCCCCTTCGTCACCTGGGCATCGTCCTGCTGGGACGGGTACGCCGGGGCCTTCTCCCACGTCACCTTCAGGGTCCATCTCGCCGTGTATGGGATTTTCAGGTATTTCTCAATTTTTGCCTCCACGTCACGGACGAGGGGGTCTCGGGTAGAGCCGAGGGTGAGGTATTCCTGATTTTCACAAGGGGGGGTCAGTGGGTGAGGGCTGACGGGGGCACTGGGATCTCCGGGTGCAGGTCCCCGGTGGCCCTGACCTGGTACCAGGTGGTGCCGATGCCCCGTGAGAAGTCAGCATCCTCCCAAAAAACGGCCACCATCGGCAGCGCCTCGTGGCCACTGAACCCCTGGGCAGGCGGGTTGGGGTTGGAGGGGACGACGTTGTCCGTGGGTGGGAAAATAATTTGCCCGTTGTCTGTAAACTGACCAAAATCACCCATTAGGCGCTGGCACCTGGCTCCCCGAGCAGTTCCCCTTGGCCTGGGGGGGGATTTTAATCCCTACTCTGCCCACGTGCGAGTAGAAAATGTCTATTTTAAGCTGGGAAAAAATAACATTCGGATTAAATTAGGTTTCTGTTCCATTTTTGTGTCTCTGTGTGTCGTGGTTTTTTTTTTTCCTTATTATTATTATTTTTTCCTATGGAGCTGTACATCCCTCACAGAAACTCACGTAGAGGGAGTCCCGCAGCGCCTTCCCGAAGGGGAACCCGATCTCCGGCTTGAACAAGGGGGAATTGAAATCCACCGCCCGCTGGACGCACTCCCTGTCACCTCCCTCCGTGCCGAACGGGTACAGGGACACCGCCGGGCCTGGGGCGGGCAGGAGATTAATGGAGAAGGTTAAAAATGAGCAACTTCTGCCCCGGCTTTCTCGCAGCCAAGACAAGCACGCCCTCGTGCCCTGGGATGCGATTTTGGGAATGATGGAGGATTTTAGGAATGATGGACGCGGGGCGAGCCCCTCCAGGGAGCCTTTCCCCGTGGGTGCCCCCGCCCGCCCCGATGCTGTCACGATTTTTAACCCAATTTGGTCTTGGGTGACTCAAGCAGGGCTCGCATCTGGAGGAAATGAGCCACTTGGGTGACTCCTCCAATTTTGGGCTGGAATGCCGTGATTAACGAACCCGGCGCGCTGTGCCCGGCACGTCCTAAGGCACGGGGGGGGGGAGCGGGTGCTTAACCCTACAAACCCCGCTGCTTTCTGGGTGGGATTGGGGCAAAATGTGAGCGGGTACTTTGGTGAATTCGCTCGCTTCGGCTGTAAAGGTTAAGGGGAAAAAAAAAGCCCGAAAAGGAGGAGCAGCCCCCTCCTCTTCATCGCCCTAAGGAGGAAAAAAATCGACTTACCGAGCCCGTGGCTGGGCTGGGGCTCCGGCACGGGGTGTCCGTGGCTGGAAGTGGTGTGAGCGGGATTCCTCGGCGTGGTGGCCGGTCCCCTCTGTGTCCCCAAGGCAGGAGCTGTACCAGTGGGGCTGGTGGCTGCTGGCGGGGTCCCTCTGGCCACACTGGGCACGGCAGCAAATGCAGGGCTGGCATCGTGGCTCGTCACCCTGCCCAGGGTGGTGGGGACATCGTGGGTGACAGAGGGGGACCGGGTGCTGCTGGTGGCCTCGGTGGGGGTCCCAGGGGTGCCACGGGGGCTGTATGGGGCAGAGGTGCTGCTGGAGGTAGTGGAGCTGGGTGCTGTGACCGTGCTGGGACTGGCAGTGGTTATTCCTGCTGCTGGACTGGTGGCACTGGTGCTGGGTGTCACAGAGGATGCCACCACCACCGGAGTGGTGTCCCCGAGCACAGGAGGGGACACGCTCACATCTGGCTCCACCGTGCTGTGGCCGAGGACAGGGGATGGTGCCGTGACCAGCCCCGGAGCTGTGGGTGACACCGTCCCTGCCCCTGCCACAGGGTTTTGGCTGCCCGGTGCATAGGGTGACACCGCGGTGGCCCTGATGGTGCCTGGCTCAGCACCCCCAGCCACAGGGGTGGGCAGAGTGGGGGGCAGCCCCACGGCCCCGTCCCCCGAGGTGCCCAGGGATGTGTCCGTGCGCACTGCTGGCTGAGCAGTGCTGTAGCTCTGCTCCTGCGTGGCCGTGCCGGGCTGAGCAGCGCTGCTGGCTCTGGAGGAGGGTGACACTGATGGAGTTGTCCCCACGGAGGTGCTCCCGCTGCTGGGTGTAGCTGTGGGGGCATCCCCAGCAAGGCTTTCATATGGGGTCGATGAGAGACTGCCCCGGGAGGGCAGGAGGGGAAAGCTGGTCGGTGGCTCGGTTTTGGGGATGTCGCTCCCCGGGGTGGGTGGCTCTGGTGATGGCCCGGTGGTGACAATTCCATGGCTGGGAGCTGTCCCCGATGGGTCGGTCCCCACTGCTCGCCCGGTGGTGCTGCCATCAGGGTCGGGCAGTGGGGGCACCCAGCGCTGGCAGCAGGGTGGCTGGGGACATTGGGGACGTGCCCGATGCCACCTCCGGGGGGCTGCTGGATGGGGACACCCCCTCTGCCATCCCCGCGGTGGCACTGCTGTCCTGCGGGATGCCTGCCCGTGGTACCCCAGGGGTGCTGAGTGTCCTGGGCACCCCTGGAGCAGCTGGGGTGGCACTGGAGCTGCCATCCCATGCCATGGTGGTAGTGTCACCGCTGGCTGGTGATGCTGTTCCCAGCTCTGCTGCACTAATTGGAGTTTTGCTAACGAGGGCAGCTGGCGGGGTCCCGGTGCCATACTCCTGGAGGGAAGGCGTCGTCTTTGCTCCATCCACGAGGGACAGGGACGTGGCCACGCTGGGGCTGGCTGGAGGGGATCTGTCCCCATCCACCTGTGCCACGGGGATCCTGGGGACTGGAGAGGAGAGCTCAGGGGAGAGGCCACCCCCAGGGAGTGACACAGCAGGGGCCGTGCTGGGGACCTGCCCCGTGTCCCTTGGTGTGGTCTCGGTGTGCAGGGCAGCAGCGGCCACCAGCTCAGCCTTTCCCGGGGCTGGAAATGGCACGGTGGGGACGTGCTCCGTGGCGGTGACATCCAGTGCCATGGCTGGTGGTCCCGGGGCCGGCGTGGTGGCACGGGGACGGGTGGCAGGGTTGGATCCGAGCAGCCCAGCTCCAGCAGTGCCGGGGGCTGGTGTCCCCGGCTCCGCAGCCTCGCTGACACCAGCAGTGGCAGGAGGAAAGGTGCTCGCTGCTGAGGATGCTCCCGGGGGGACTGCAGGTGGTGGGGTCCTGGATCCTTCTGTGGCTGTCTGGAGGGGATCCCCGGTGGCTGCTGGAGCAGTGGGGTCGGTGACAGGGCCACCCAGGGCTGCTGGTGGCTCCACGGAGTGGATGGTGTCCCCAGGGGAGGCCAGCGAGACGCTGGCTGCTGTGGCAGGAGGAGAGGTGGCCGTGTCCAGCTCCGGGGTGGCCTTTTGGGACAGGAGCACGGTGGTTGCGTGCTGCTCAGCGGGGCTCTCGCTGATAGCAGGGGGCGATGTCCCCGTGCTGGGTGCAGCAGGAGGTGGCACGGTGCTCCACGCTGTCCCCAGCGTCCCCTCTGCAGTGACAGCGCCGTAGGGCTGCGCCAACTCACGGGCATCACTCGCTCCGGTCGTGGCTGAGGAAGGCGCTTTTGTCCCCAGCTCTGGTTGAGCAGCAAGGACAAGTGGCACTGGTGGGGACAAAGCTCCGCCTGGTGCTGGGACGTGACCTGTAAGTGCCATGGGCACGGTCCCTTGCTCTGCAGGGACAGTTGTCCCTGGAATTGGCTCTCCAGCGATGTTCTCCAGCCCCCTGGACACCTCCAGAGTTTGCTCAGGAGCAGTGCTGCTGCCTGACTGGCACCGTTTCGCCCGTCCCCTTCTCGGTGGGGACAGGTGGAGCTGGGGACAACGTGGCTGTGGCTGGCCCAGCGGCGCTGAGAGCCACCGTGTGCCCTGCTGGAGGGACACTGGGCGGGGGGCCACCAGGGCTTGGGGAGGAAAACCCAGCCCCTGCCTGGGGAATATCCCGCGCTGCCAACCCCCCCGAGAGAGCTGCTGTGCTGCTGGGCTCCTCCTGCTCCTTGCTGGGGCTCGTGGGGACCTGTCCTGCTGCCACCACGTCACCTGCGAGGAGGGACAGGGCGCTCCTCCCTGCGCCCAGAGGCGTGCGCGTTGTGCTCCGCAGCGCCGGGACGAGGTCCCCGGCAGGCAGGGACCCGCTCCGAGTGGTGTTACCTGACCTGTCCCCGGGGACAGAGGGCTGCTCCGGGGGGCTGGCTGCGCTGCTGGGGGACACCTGGCACATGCCCAGCGTGGCCACGGTGGGTGACACGTCCGGAGGCAGCTCGGCGCTATCAGCCCCGCGGGAGATGCTGCCCGGCTCTGCTCCTGCTGCCCCTGGCAGGGTGTGCAGGTGAGTGAGGGTAGGATGGGTGAGCCAGCCCAGTGCCGCATCGTGGTTCCCATCCCTCCTCCCCACCGTGCCCGGCTGCTTCAAGAAGGTGTCCCCGTGCCACCAAGAGCATGCCCCGGCACCGCGGACGGAGAGCGAGGCGGACACGGGGTGCTCGCGCCTTCCCCTTGTGCAAATCCCCATCTGATCCAAAAACCAACGGAGCGTGAACGCCTTGCACCAGCACTGCACACTTGGAAACAGGGGTCGGTTTTGGGACTGCTGGGTGCCACCGTTCGTGGCTCCAACGAGCTGACCCCACAGCCTGTCCCATGCCCGCGTTGTGGACACCGTCACAGCCCGTCACCCGTAACCCCGATGGGATCGGCCACCCCAGCACTTACCCAGCAGCACCCAGAGCCCCCAGCTCCAGAGCGGCCACCGGCACCCCATGGCGTGGCAGCAGCAGGCTCCCGGCGTCCCTGGCACCTCCCGTGGCTCCTGGTGTCCGCGGGGAGTGATGCTTTGGGGCGGCCCCGCCGGCGAGCACTGCCCCGTGCCAGCCCTCCTCCCGCTGCCACTGAGCCACGTGCCCTGCCCCGGGGCACCCACAGCTCCCCCATTCCTAGGGGGTGGCCGTGCCCCAGCCCTGGGGACGTGCTGGTGCTGGGGGACACCCCTATCCCTTGATTTAGCCACGGGGAGGCTTTGGGGTCTTACCTAGGGCGACCCCACGGATGGTACCCCAAGGTTGGGGGCATCTGTAGGGTCGATAGCCACTGGGGGCTACCCGGCGGGCTGCAAAAGGACACGGGATGGGGAGAGGGGCTGGGGTCCCTAGTGCTGCTGGGAGGGGGTGCTCCCCCCAGCCCGGCACCCACCCCTCCCTGTTTGCTGCCACGTCCTGGCCACGCTCGGCCGGGCAGCCGATAACCCCTGGCACCCGTGGGCTCACCGCCAAGGAGGAACAAGGAAGGGAGCAGCTCCCACCGCCTCGGGGTCTGGCGCTGCTTAACCCTTGCCCATCCTGGGGGCACGGCATCGCCCCCCCAGACCCTGCAGAGACCCGGTGGTGCTCATCCCACCCTGCCCGACACCCGTGGCCGTGCCCTACCCCAGCGCACTGATGCTTTGATGCTTGTGGACGATCCCTGTTCATGAAGCACCCCAAAAAAATCCAGTCCTGGATGCTGCGTAAGCCCACCTGCCCAAAAGGGACCCCAAAAGGGTTGATAGGGGGCTCTGTGGGGATGGGATCAGCACTCGGGGCACCCCAACTTTGCCCCACTGGCGTTGCGTTAAGGGCTGATGACCTTAACGGAGTCCTTGCGTGCGGGGGGTTATCTGCCCATCGGAGTGCATCCCATTGCAAACACCCACGCAGATCCGTGCCGGGGGGGGGTTGTTCTAACATGGGCTGGGCCGTCCCCTGGCTCGCAGGTCACCTTAAACCAGGGGAAGGACGGCGAGACTCACCCTGGCGTGCAACAGCCCCCCGGGACCTGGCAGGAGTGGTTACGGTAAAGAAATGTTTGCTTCCTCTCAGGGCCTGCTCCAGCTCCGGGGTTTTTAAGGGGGTGGGAGGGGGAAAACAAGTCAGGTAAGGTGTTGTGCCTCTCTCCCTTCATCGACACCCATCCCATGTCGATGACATGTCGTGACAGCTCTGGGGGGGGAAACTGAGGCACAGGAGAGCCCCAGCAGCACCGTGCATTCAGGTGCCCAAGCACCCGGAGAGGTTGGCCACCAAAGTTCCCCCCTTGGTGCGAGGTGGCACCCAGGGGGGAACCCATTTAGGGGAGGGGGGGATCCGAGACATATTAGGGGTGCATGAGCAGCAGCACCCGGGGCTTGCGGGGTGCCAGCCCCCCACCCACCCACCCACCTCCCCGGCACCTGGCTGCGGCTTGGCGGTGCCACCCGGTTGCACAACGCCCCTCGCGTGGGTGGGGGCGACGCAGGGCTCGCCGCTCCCTGCCCGGGCATGAGTCACGAGCAGGCTCCCGGCACATCTGCCGCGGGGCGCGGGGGCGGCTGGAGCCATGGGGAGGGGAAAGGGGGGGAAACGGGGTCGTGCCGTGGGGGTCCCCCCATGGGGTGCCACGGGAGCACGGCTGCGCGCGGTGTCCCTCTGCGGGGGGTGGCTCAGGGACACCCTGGTCCCCATGTGCTGGCAGGGAGGAAGCCAGGAGACGGGCACAGGCACCCTCCTCCTCTCCATAGAATATTTTATATATATATATAACATATATATATATAATATATATATTAAAATTACATTTCTCTTTACAAAAAAAAAACAACTCAACAACAGGCCAGGGGACGGAGCTCATCTCTCAAGCCAGGGCGCACGCAGCCCGGCGTAGGGGCCGGGGGCCTTCCCAGACCCCTTTTTGGGGCGCCCCCGTCCCCCAGGTGGGGCTCAGTCCAGAGTCCAGCAGCGGGTGGTGTGGCTGGGGCTGGGCACGGCGTGCTGGCCCCGCAGCCGGGCGCCTGCTCCGGATCCAACGCAGCTCGCCGGGTCCCCTCTGTCACCGCCTGCGAGGGGAGGTGAGATGAGGAAAAGGGGACGAGGCTGGAAGCCCGAGGGCAGCGTGGCGTGGGAGAAACCCTAAAAAGCCACCCCGAAATGCACTTACTTCTGCCGGGAGGAGCCGCAGGGGTCGAGGAGGTGGGAGCTGGCCTGCGCCAGGTTCCAGTCGAACATCTCCAGCACCCGGTGGCACTCCACGCGGGACTTCAGCCCCAGGCAGAAGAGCTGCTCCACCTGCAAGGGGACAGGGCTGCGAGGACGGGGAGGGAGGGGGTGGCGGGGGCGCTCCCACCCCCGCGGGAGCTGGCGTGGGGGCCGCGGCCGTGCCGTGCCGTGCCGTACCTTCAGGTACTGGATGGCCCGTTGGACGTTCCAGCCGTGGTTCTGCAGGGCCGCCTGACACTCCTCGGTGGTGACGCCGTGCACCATGTCCTGCACCTGGGGGAGGCTGACGGTCACCCAGTGCCACCAGCAAGGAGCTGGGAGGGGTCAGGGGGACACCGGGGATGTCCCCTCTCTGTGGCTCTGTCCCCAGATGGGCAACAGCACCAGTCGAGGTGGGATTTCTGCCTCCTGTGCTAGGGCGCACACCCCCGGCCACCTCCCTGTGCCCAGCAGGGACGGCCACCTCCCTCCCCATCCATGCGGCCAAACACGTGTGTAGGCTATTTTGGGTTAAAAGTCTCCCCAATCCCCATTTTGGAGATGCTTTTTGCACATCTGGGGACCCCTTGCAGCCACCCCCTCAGGGGACTGGGCACAGGGGTAGGGATGGCTGTTGCCCAAGTGCCACAACGAGCCCACGGCCACCTAACCAAAAGCCACCCCGGGGGAGGCCACCTACCAGCCGGATCTTCTCGGAGGGGCGGTAGCCATCTGGCCCATCGTAGACAATCTTCTGGAGGCTGCAGGAGGCTTTCACCAGGCACTTGGGCCCCAGGTTGCTGTTGTTGGAGGAGAAGTTGGCCTTGTAGTCCGGCTGCTGCTGCACCATGGGCCGGACGGTGGCCGTGGTGACCACGCGGGACGCCGGTGCCTCCTCGGGGCTTTTGGCCTCCTTGAAAAACTTCTCGTACTTGTCCAGGTAGGCAGGGCGCTCGGGCAGCAGGTAGTAGTGGGTGCTGCTGACCTTCTGCCCGTCCTTCACGATGGGCAGGATGCAGGGCCCCTTGGAGCAGTCCTTGCCCTGCGCCTGGATCACCTTGGGGGTGGCGTATTTGGGGTCGAGGGCGAAGCTCTGCGTGGTGGGCATGGGCTTCCCCGGAGAGGTGGAGAGGCAGGAGCAGAGGGCGCCGCGCTGCTGGGGGGAGCCCACCTGCAGGGCCATGGGGCTGGGCGTCCTCGAGGTGGGCTGCGACAGCGGGTCCCGGGGGGGGATTTGGGGTGGCCGGTCCTCCTCGCCCCCCGAGGCCGGGGACAGCTCCCCCGACCAGCGCCCGGGCTCGTTGCGGCGCAGGGGCCGGGGCGGGATGGGGACGCGGGGTGGGATTTGGGGTTTGTCATCTGCCGGGCAGGCGGCCGGCCCCCGGGGCACGTTGAACCTCTTCATGCACTCCTGCTGCAGCTCCTCGAAGATCTCGGTGGTCTGCGTCAGGCTGGGCTGCTTGGCCTCCTTGGGGGGCAGGAAGAGGTTGTCCTCCAGCCCCGCCGCCCGCTCGCCCTCGTCCACGAAGCCGTAGTTGGTCTCGCCCCTCTCGCGCGCCCTGGGCAGCCCGGCACGGCTGCCCCGCCGCCCGGGGGGGCTGTTGATGGAGCACACCTCGAAGTCGTCCTCGTCCTGCGCCACGTCGTCGTAGGCGGGCGGCGGGGGCAAGGGCCGGGAGTCCCAGTCCACCACCGGCGTGGGGTGGAGGGGTCGGGGCAGGGCTCGCGTGGGGCTCTGCGGGGGGGTCTTGTCCAGCAGGGAGAAGGCCTCCATGGCCAGCTTGGCGAGGGAGGGGGCCGTCAGCTCCCCCAGGGGCGAGGGGCTGGCGGGGGGCACCTCCTCCCCGAAGTCGATGAGGGTCACCTCGCCGCTGCCCGGTCCCTCGTTGGGTGGCCGGCCGGGTTGCCGCTCGCCCACCTTGGTGCCCTGGCACGCGGGCA